GCCCGGTCGGCCGGCGGGCGCGGGGTGCGGCCCCTCCCCGCCCGGCCAGGCGACCCCTGCGCGCAGTCACCAGCTTTAGGGGCGCCTGCCACCCCCCGCAGGGACGGCCCGCCCCGCGCGGCCCCGAGGCACCCCCCGCCCCCGCGGGGGCGGCTCATCCCCCTCGCCGGGTCCTCCCGGAACCCCGCGCCAGACTTCGGGAGGGGCGTCGAGGGCCCGTCGGGGCGCAGCCCGGGGCTGACGGCCAGAATTCCCGAAGGCGGCGCCCTGGAGGCGGCCCCGGGCTTCAGGCCAGGGCTGGGGCGCCTGGGAGTGGGCGCCGGGGCCGGGTCTGGGCTGGGCATGGGGGCGCCTCTCCCCCGGCGGCGCCCCTGGCGCTCAGACGCCGAGGCCTGGACTGGCCAGGTCAGTGAGTGAAGCTGCTCGGAAGCGCCGCGGGGTCCTGGTCTTGGGGGGGGCTTCCCAGGGGAGGGCCCGGAGCTTCCCCTGAGTCCCCAGCCCGGGAGTCAGGGGCTCCGGCCGCCCGCAGTCCCAAGAAATGGGCCGGAGGCGGCGGCAGGCTCCCCCTCTGCAGCAAGCCTCCTGACCTGTAACGGGGTGACAGTCATTCCCTCGGGAGCCGGTTCCCGGGCGCTCTTGGGGTGCCCCCTGCCTGCTGGGGAGAAGAGCAGGCCCTGGCCCTGTGCCAGGGGTCCTGGGGTCCCGCGGGGTTCCCTGGCCCTCCCGCCCCGCTGAGTGACCTTCGGTTCACCTGCTTCCCGGGCCCGGCTGGACCCGCAATCCAGCCACGGTCCCCGGGGGCGGCAGGCAGGGAACGGGGCGCGAAGGCTGGATTCTCTCCTGAAGCCACGAAGAATTAGGCCAACAGAACCTACAGCCTGAGCCGCACCCCTGGAAGGAGGCAGGCGCCGGCCCAAATCTGGGACAAGATATATCAAAAGAGGTCGCCGCCGGGCAGTGGGGACACCCCGCGCGGCCCGGCCCTGGAGGTGTCCTCCCCGCTCCTCCGAGCTGTGAGGGGGCGGCCCTGCCCACACAGCGGGCGCCTCTCCCTCTTCTGCCCTCGGGTGGGGAAGCCAGAGCTGTCCCTGATGGCCCCCTGGAAGCTGAGGCTCCTGAGTGGCGGGTTCATCCCCACGCTGGGGGGGCCTCTTCGCCCTGACGCTCCTTCCCGGGGTGCGGGACCTGCGGCTCCCAGGCTGCCGCTGTCCTCAGGGCTCGCCCTGTCGTGGGTGTCCGCACGCTCTTCAAGCTGGGCCTGGGAGACGGCTGCCCGGGAGGGTCGGCCCAGCCCTGGGGGAGGACGCCGGGGCAGGCGGTGGGATGTCCCCACCCTCTCACCTGGCCGGCCCTGGCCGCCTCCAGCACGGGCCGTGGCCAGCCTCACCCCGCACGCCTTCCTTCAGAGGCCAGACGAGCCACTGACGCGCTGCCCAGGTTCCGGCGGGCGCGTCCACTGCTGGCCGGGAGCCGACTGGAGCTCAGTGTCCGGCACCCGCCTCCCTGCACCGGCAGCTCCAGGGCTGCCAGGGGCCACCTGACGCGGGCCGGGGGCAGCTCTGCAGGCCTCGCCAGGGCACCCCCCGCTCATGCTCCGCAGATGACCCTGAAAATAGGAGCCGAGCAGAGGCCACCCTGAGCCGCGCCCTCGCCGGCATCAGCCCCAGGCACTGACCGTCCCGTGGAGCGCGCCCCCTCGCCACTGGCCTCCTCAAGGTCGGGCTCCTAGGCCTGGCCCAGAGCTTTGGCCCAGCAGCAAGTCCACAGGCACCTGTACCCCCGTGGGAACCCCCTCCGTGGCAAGCCCTTCCTCCCCGCCCCCCCCAACGGCCAGCCGCCTGCCCGTGTCCCCCGCCTGCCCATGTCCCCCGCCCGCCCGTGTCCCCCGTCTGCCCGTCTCCCCCGCCCTCTTCAAACAGGCCCTGCCCCGCATGACGCTTAGTCAAGGGCACCTGACCTACCTGGTCAGTCTCTGAGGGCTGGAGGCCTCCTTCCAGCCAACCCTTGGAATACTGGGGTTCCCAGGAGCCCAGCGCGCGGTCGCCCAGAGGCCACTCCGCCCCGGCCCACCCTCCACTGCTCTGCCTGGACACTCTCCCCAGAGAGACTGGCACGAGCACGGCTTCTCCCGCCACGGGCAGGTCACAGGTGCCCCACCCGCCCATGTTTCCAGGAGCCTGGCAAGCCCCTGGGGGGCAGAAGCCACGCCGCAGGGACTGGGGCTTTCCTGCCATCTCTCACCGCCCGCGGCCCTCTCTCCGGGCAGGCTCCCTGCAGAGGCCAGAGGCTGCCTGAGAAAGCCTAAGCCGGCCTGGGGGGGGCCTCTGCCTGGAGCCCCTCACCAACCTGCAGGACCTTCTGCTTTTGCACCCCCATCACTTGCACCCCTTGGGGGCACATGGGTACCTGCCCTAGTGAGCCACGCGCTCCCAGGATCAGGGGAGCCCGTCTTGGGCCAGATCTGGAGAAGCATCATGGGGTTAAAGGTCAAATCCCATCCCAATGTGGGGTGCCAAGGCAGGCAGTCACCCCTCCTCCTCCACATCCTGCTCCCGGGGGGACCTGCCCAGCCAGCTCACTGGCCCCCGAGCCAGCACCTGCCCAGGGTGTGGCTGAAAGTGACCTCAGGAGGAGGCCTGTGGCCACCGCGGAGGCTGGCGCCCGGCTCCGCTGCCGCAGACGCTCTTGCGTGCAAGAAATGGCTCCCTGGCTCCCGCGGCGCCCGCCCCGACTCCGCAGACGCGCTCCTTGCCCCACATCCCAGGCCCCGCGAGCCCCGCCTGCCCGACCTCTGCCGCCCCAGACCTTTGCCCTGGCTGTGCCCGGGCCAGGAAGGCCTTCCCGCCCACTGGTCCTTCCAGCCACACCCATGTCCACGGAGCACCTCGCCGTGGGCAGAGCCAGCCTGGGGGGTGCTTGGCAGCGCCCACAAGGAGGGTCAGTGGGAGGGGAGGCAGGGAGGGCACAGGCGGGCGAGGCTCCCAGCCAAGTCCTTGCCCTGCGCCCTGTACCCATGGAGGCCCGGAAGGGGGCCCCACCCTTGGGAGCAGCAGAATGGGGTCAGGGCGCAGGTCTCCCTAGAGGGGGCCCTCAGGCCTGGGGCCCCAAGGGCCACTGTCAACCCCAGGACCTCCATCCTCTTCGCCAGCCCCCACGACACTCAGGGATGGGGTGAGGCCTGACAGCTGAGCCAGAGGGGGGCAGGTAGCAGCTGGCCCAGCCCTGGCGGGAGCCCAGTTTCCGTACTTCTGGGGGGCGGCTCCCCGGGCCCCCAGGGGTAGCACGGGCCGCGAGGTCACGCTGCGTGGCCGGCAGTGCTGTGGGGTGGACTGGCGGGGTCTCGGGGGGTCTCGCGGGACCTGAGCCCTGGACCCCCAAAGCTGGGTACTCTGCAGAGAGAACCAAGCCCCGCAAGTGTCCGCAGGCCAGCGGGGACCGCGAGTGCTGGCCGCGCCCCTCCTCACTTGGAGACCACCTCGCTGTGCACCCCCGTTTCCTGGCCGGTGACCTGGGGTCACTGCGCTCAGCGGCTCGCGAGGCCCCCGCCGCCCCGCAGCCCCGGAGCAGGCGCTCCCCAAGGTCACGGAGGCTCGCGGGGCGGGGGCGGGCGGCGCCGGCGGGGGGCGCGCGGGGCGCGGGGGGCGCGCAGGCCCCGCCCCCACCGCTTCCGGGGCCCCGCCCGCCGCGGCGCCCTCAAGTTTCTCCCAACTTTTCTGCGGGGCCCGCCGGGCGCCCCGCCCACCGGCGCGTGACGCAACAATGGTGCAGCGCGGCGGCCAATGGGCGGCGGCGGGCGCCGGGGGCGCGGGCCAATGGCGGAGGCGCACGGGCCCGCGGGCCTCCCCGGCCCGGCCCGGCCCGGCCCGGCCCGGCCCGCACCGCACTGCGCCGCCCGCCCCGGATCCCGCCGCCCCGGATCCCGCCGCCCCGATCCCGCCGCCCGATCCCGCCGGGCTCAGAGCGCGCTGCGGCGGCGCCCCCCGCCCCCGCCCCGGGACCCTCGCCGGCGCGCCCCACGGTGAGCCCCCTCGCCGCCCGCGCGCCCCGCCCCGCCCCGCCGCGCCCCCCCGCCCCGGGAGGCCCCCCCGGCTCGCTGCCCGGCCCCCGCTGCCCGCGCCCCCCGGCGCCCCGCGCACCTGCGGCGCCCCCAGCGCGCGGCCCCCTCCGCCCGCCGCCGCTTGCGTCCGCGCGCCCGGCCCTGCCCGGCCCTGCCCGGCGCGTCCCGGCGCCCGGGGCACTCGGGGGCGGGCGGCTGAGCCCTGCGGGCAGCGCGGGGGGCGCGGGCGGGGCCCGGGGCTGGGGGACCCCACGCGTCCGCCGCGAGACCCGGGGGAGGCGGGAGACCCCGCCCGGACTCGGCCCTGCCCAGCTCGCCCCGGGGGGGGCCCAGCGCCGTCCCCGCGCCCCGGGGGGGAGACCCGGGCGGCCCCCGGAGGGCGGCGGGGAGCCGCGCGCCAGCGCCCGGGCTGCGGCCCCGCCCTCCCGGGAGGCCGCGGTCCGGGAGGACGTGCCGAGCCCCCGCCGCGCTCACGGCCGCCCGCGCCCCCCGCAGATGAGGACCCCGCGGCCCCGAGACGGCGCGTGACCCCGGCCCCGAGTCGGCGACGCGGCGCAGGAGCCAGGTAGGGCGGGAGCCGGGGAGGGCGCGCCCGGCGCTGTGCCCGGCGCTGTGCCCGCCGTGCCCGCGGGAGGGGCGGCGGTCGGCTCCGGAGGGAGGTCAGGGGCGCGGGGGGGGACCCCGGGGGGGCCGAGGTGGGGACCCTTGCCCCGGCCCTTTCTCCACGCGGGTGGGTGCAGGCGGCGCGGGCGGGAGCAGGAGCTCTGGCCGCGGCCCGGGCTGCAGGGTGGGCGTCGCTCGGGGCGGGCGGGGCCGGGCCGGGCCTCCAGCGGCCGCTTCAGGGGAGACCGGGGGCAGCTCGATCCGGGCTGTGGCCGGCGGGGGGCTGGGGGCGGCGGGCGGCCCCGACCCTGACCGCGCCCTCTGCCCGCAGGTGGCCGCCGCCATGCCCTGGGACGCGCGGCCGCCCGGGGGCGCGGAGGGCGGCCCCGAGGGCGCGGGCGCGGCGCGCGCGCGGGCGCAGAAGCAGTGCCGCAAGTCGTCCTTCGCCTTCTACCAGGCCGTGCGCGACCGGCTGCCCGTGTGGCTGCTCGAGGACATGCGCGCCAGCGAGGCCTTCCACTGGGACGAGCGCGGCCGCGCCGCCGCCTACTCGCCGGCCGAGGCGCTGCTCTACGCGCTGGTGCACGACCACGGCGCCTACGCGCACTACCTGCTGGCCACCTTCCCGCGCCGCGCGCTGGCCGCGCCCGCCGCCGGCTTCCGCTGCTGCGCCGCGCCGGGGCCGCACGTGGCGCTCGCCGTGCGCTACAACCGCGTGGGCATCCTGCGGCGCATCCTGCGCGCGCTGCGCGACTTCCCGGCCGACGAGCGCGCGCGCCTGCTGGACCGGCGCGGCTGCGCGCGCGTGGAGGGCGGCGGCACGGCGCTGCACGCGGCCTGCGAGCTGGCGCGGCCCGAGTGCCTGTTCCTGCTGCTCGGCCACGGCGCCTCGCCCGGCCTGCGCGACGCGGGCGGCCTCACGCCGCTCGAGCTGCTGCTGCGCCAGCTGGGCCGCGACGCGGGGGCGGCCGGGGCGCCCGGGGAGCCGCGCCGGCGCCGCCTGCTGCTGCTGGACCTGCTGGCGCTGTACACGCCCGCGGGCGCCGCCGGCCCGGCCCGCCGCGAGCTGCTGGGCGACCGGCCGCGCTGGCAGCGGCTGCTGGGCGAGGACACGTTCCGCTGGCTGGCGGGCCTGGCGCCGCCCTCGCTCTTCGCGCGCGCCATGCAGGTGCTGGTCACCGCCATCTCGCCCGGCCGCTTCCCCGAGGCCCTGGACGAGCTGCCGCTGCCGCCCTTCCTGCAGCCGCTGGACCTCTCCGGCCAGGGCTAGCCCGGCGCGGCCCCGGACTCGACACGGAGCGGCGGCCGCCGGCCGCCGCCGCCTCTTCTGGTGCCGCCGGGTGACCGCGGGGCGCGCGCCAACGGCCCGGGCCGGGAGGGGCGGCCGCCGCCGCGGGCCGCGCCCGCCCCCCACTCCAAACTCGCGTCCCCGCCAGCGCCGGCCACCTCGGGCCCCACTCGGCCCGGCCCCGCGCCCCCCTCCCGGCCCGCCCGCCCCCGGGCCCCGGGCGGGGGCGGAGGGCCTCTGCGCGCCCGGGCGCTGGTGTCCACCGTGCGCCAAGCCCTGCCCCAGCCGGTTCTGCCGAAGGTTCCGCGGCTGGGGGGCCCTGCACACGGGGACCCTGCCTGGAAAGCCGGGTCTGTCCCGGAGGCGCCTTGGGACGGGGGAGCAGGCGGGGAGAGGAAGGAGCCCTACAGGACCCGGAGACCCAACCCCTGGCGCGGGGCTGGGGTGCCGCCTCCGGCAGAGCTGAGGGTTTGCTCAGCAAAGAGTGACCAGTCTGCCCGGGACTGCCTGCTGCCCACCCTGCCCCTTGCCTCTGGGGCCCGGGCAGCAGGAGGGTCTGGCCTGGGGGCCCTGGCTGGCAGCGCCTGGCCTGGGTGCAGTGTGCCCACCTACTTGCGAGGAGCCTGCGCCGTCTCTGAACCCTGCCTGGCCTGGGGAGGGGGGGGCAGTGCCTTGGCCTGTCCTCCCATGGCCGTGGGGTGAGGGTGAGGCTCGGGTGGCCATGGCCAGCCCAGGGTCCGCACCCACGGGGGATGCCGGCCCGGCCCCTCAGGCCGCGGTGCGAGCAGGGACCTGGGGCAGTGGTGCGGGCTGATAAGGGGAGCTCCCAGGCTATCTGGGGGCAGCTGCTGGCGGGGAGGAGCCCGGCACCGGCCTATCAGGTCCCCTGGGCCCTCCAGGGAAGGCAGGGGACACGAGGGAGCCGTGAGCCAGCCAGGCCCAGCTCGGGTGTCCCCAGCAGGCAGCCCACTCAGCTCCTGGCTGTCCCAGGGCCCCGAAGCCTCTGCCTGGAGCAAGACCCGCTTTTCTCTGGGTGACGTGTGGCTTTTTCATGTCACCAGTTACCAAGGAAACCTGGCCACCGCCGGTACTGGCACCCCAGGACCCTTAGGGTGGTGAAGGCTGGTCCCTGCCCCAAGGCACCGTGCTGTCCACCCACGCAGTTAGGAGCAGGAGGAGGGTGGCCGTCCCCTCCCTGGGCCTCGCCTCCTGTGCTGACGACCCCGCCTGCCCCCCACTTCCTTAAGTGCCCCAAGTCCTGTTAAGAGCAGGATGCTTCCGGGATTGGGGAAGGGCGGTGAGGGAAGCTGAAATGAGGCATCGCCGAGACCCGTGGGGGCGGACGGGATGAGTGTGCGTGGGGTGCAGCCGTGGCCTGGCCAGGGGCCGAGCCAGAGCCCACTTTAAAGAATCTGCTGGTGGGCGGACGCACGCTCCTGTGAGGCACAAGGGCAGGCCCCGGGGACGTCCCCCTGCCCGCCAGGCCGGGCCAGGCGCGGAGGCGGCTGCGGCCCCGTGGTTGGGCTCACCAGGCCCGAGGCGCGGGTCTCGACTCCCAGGCGCGGTGCTTCCCCGGACGGCACAGCTTGGGCGCGGGAGCCGTGAGGACGCCCTGGCGTTCTCTGGTGACATCGCTTGGTGGTGGCCACGCGGTTACTGTCGGGACTGTTTTTCAAATGTGAATTTTATTTATTTTTGGAATAAATTATACATTGAACATGGCTTACAGGTCAGGACACAGAGCGCACTTGCCCTGGGGGCCATTCTGGCCGTGACCGTGTCTCCTCTGCCCCGCACTGGGGCCCCCGCGCCCACGGCCTCGAGCTGCCCAGGGAAGGGCCCTCGCCACAGGCCGTCTGTGGTCCCGCTCACAGCTGTTCTGGACGCTGCAGAGGCGGAGGCTGGGCTCCAAGGCGAGAAGGGCCGTGCCTTGGGGACCGACTTGCCCCTGGGCCTGCGGGGACATTGCGGTGCCCTCTGGCCTCCATCCGCATGTGGCCTGTCTCTCCCCGTGATGCATCCCGCTGAAGAAATCAAACTTCTCTTGCTCCGTGGCTTTTCCCTTCACTTCCCAGGCGAGCGCTCCCGCCTCTCCGGAAGGCGGGCCAGCACCCACCTCGCCCACACAACTACAGGGCGCCCCCCGCCTCACGGTGCATCTGCAGGTCTCCCCTGGGGACTCGGGCCTGGAGCTCCGGGAGCCCGGCCCTCGGGTGCAGCCTGCACAGGCAGGCGAGCTGAGCCCCGCGGGCTGTGGCAGCGGCGGCCGGGGCCAGTGGGCAAGGGGCTCGCATGGGCCCTGGAGTGCGGGAAACCTGGTGACGCTCTCCCCGCCCCTGCACACACGCGGCAGGGGTTGGGGGTTCTGACAACTTGAGAGGCCGCACCCGCGCACAAGGCTTTTACGGCCACCAGGCGTGGCCACCCCGCCTCGGCGTGGCTGGTGCTGGTGTTCCTCACGCCGTCGCTGGGCCTCGTCCCGTCGGCTGGCTCCCCCGGCTGTCTCTGCCAGTCGGGTTTGGTTTCTGAGCAGACAGATGCCGGGTCCTGAGTTTCTGCAACGGGCCAGCGGCCAGGCCTGGGTGAGGCGGGTCCTGAGCCCTGGTGCGGGGCCGGCAGCTGGGCCTGCGTGAGGAGTGGCCCACCCAGGGGCGCTCGGGAGCCACCATGCCCAGAACAGCTAGCCGGAAACCGCCCCCACACAGACTGGGCCAGGAAACTGCGACTGTCCGCCCTCTCCTGGCCACGGCTGGGCTGGCAATCGCCCGCCCTAGTGCCCACCAGGGACCCTCAGCGCCGATGCCAGACAGGCGGGGAAAGTCGACGCCCTGGCTGAAAGCACAACTGAAAACTGAAGCCGGAGGAAAGTGAGCCAAGCCCCGCCTGGGGGCCGCTGCCTGCGACGCACTTGGAGGGAGGACACACTTGGGGCGAGGGCTCCCGTCGGAGTGTGAGGAGAGAGCTGGGCGCCAGCGGCTCGCCCTCATTTAGACCTGGAGGGCCTCCGCCTTCATGGCCAGCGGGGCCCATCAGAGGACACTCCTCACGTGTGGTCCGGGGGCTCCTGGACACTGCACAGGAGAACTGGGCCCTGGGCCAACTTGGGCTAAGGTGGCAGCAGGCAGGCGCCTGCCTTGGAGCTGCCTCTGGAAGGGCGGGGCCGGCTGCCAGGCCAGCAGCTCGGACGCCAGGGAGCCCAGGCCCGGCCACAGGAGGCTCCAGTCTGGCCTTGGTGCCAAACACCCGCTGCTGGTGCCGAGCTGTCTGTGGGAGCCAGTCCTGCCACCGTGAGGACACGGGGGGCAGCCACTCTCTCTGAAGCTGGAGCCAAGGACAGGAGAGGCTCAGGAGAAACCACGGGAAGGAAGAAAGGCCTTCCGCTGGTTTCAGAAAATACTTTTCTAAATTCGCGAGATTTGATTTCAAATGAGGTATCGTATGCAGGTCTGTAACACAACAAACAAAAGGCAATCGTTAGTAGATTCGTCCTGGACGATGCTTCTGGATTTGACCATGGCCACCAGTGGCAGGACACAGCCCTCGGACACGTCTCCGTGTGCTAGCGCGGCCGACTGCCCCAGCCCTGGGCCTGCCGGCAGGACGCACGTCTGCTTGGCCACATTCCAGCTGCCCCCGGCCTTCCCTTTGGCTGCGTGTCTCCAGGGGCGGGCGGGGAGGTGTGCGGGACAGTGCCCTGTCCGCCTCCGCCCTGCACACCCCAACCCAGCCCCGCGCTTCTCGGGCACGCCTGGGGCTCCCGGGGAAAGCTGAGCATGGAATGTGCTGGAACCTGCATCTCAGAGAGGGGGCGTGGGGCCTGTGACAGAGCAGCCCCCACAGGGCACGTCGGGGCTGGACACTGGCCTCGGGCTCTGGCTGGCCGGGTTCTGGCTCGCCGCCGAGGGAGGCCCGGTGTGATCTGCAGCGGGCAGGGCCGCACGGCGACGGCCACGCATGCAGCGGGACGCCTGGGGAGTGGGGAGCGCCGCTGCCACGGCCGCATGCCCCGGTCACGGCTGCAGGGGCCAAGGGAGGCAGACGCTGAGGTGACGAACCTCATGGGGCTCCCAGCTCATCGGCGTGTCTGGCCCGGAGCTGGCGAAGCGTGTCCAGCAGGAGCGCTCGGAGCCCCGTGTCCACCACGCCCGTCTCGGCCCCGCCTTCCCAGTCAGATGACCTCCCACTCGTCCTCCAGCTGCTCGGGGGGCGGGGGGGCGGCGTGGTCGCTGGGGGCGCGGCGCGAGTGGCCGTAGGTCCTCGTCAGCCGCTGGAGGAGGTAGCCGGGGGGGCCCACGGCCCACAGCTCATCTGCCGCGGTCACTGCAGGGCAAGAGCCAGCCACGCTCGTTAGGCGCCCTTGGGGGAGCAGGCACAGGAGGAGCCAGAGCCCAGGCCATGTCCAGAGGCCCAGACACCCCCTCCCACGCTGCCCCAGCACAAGGCGGGCGTCCTAGCATGCTCTCCGCCCCGGGCACCGGCAAAGCCCTTCCCCTCAGGCGAGGAGACCCGGGCTGCCCAGGGCCCCCCATCCGGCACGCCCGCCCGGGCCTGGACCTGCCTGTGAAACACGTCACGCTCCCCGGGACCTTCTTCCAGTAGTCCCCGGCGGGGTTCCTGTCGGTGACGCCATAGCGGCGGGCGAGGTCGCCATTGGGGCAGCGGGCCCACACGGTCCTGGAGCTCAGCGCCAGCTGGCAGGCCTGCAGCCCTGCGGGCAGGCGGGTGTGGTCTCAGACACCATGGGGGCGTCCCTGGGGTGGGGGCTGGCGCAGGGGCAGGGACACAGGCAGGGCCTCCGGGACACTGGTGCGCGATGGCACACACCCTCGCAGGGCCCAGTGCCGCGCGCAGCCTACCTGGCACGTGCTCCCAGGCGGTGCCCACGGGCATCTCCTCTGTGACCCCTGTGCGCACGTGCACGCCCCACCTGCTGTCCAGCGCCCACAGCATCTGGTCGTTGGGGCTGGAATGGACGCTGACCAAGGTGGCCCCGGCAGGCTGGGGAGAAAAAGGGCGGGTCTGGAGCACAGGGGTACAGGGGGGACCAGGCCCGCCCTCGGAGCTCGGCCCCTTAGCCTCAGAGACACGGGCAGACGGCCCCGTGTGCCAGGCTGAGCCAAGCGGATGTCCTCCAGCACTCACCGGGCCACGGCCGTCGCTGACCGCGGGCACCGGGGGCTCGCCGGGTGAGAGTGGGGAGCAGGAATCGACGCGGGTGCTGCGCTGGGGGGGCTGCTGTGCTGGGCGGCGCTGTGTGCGCGCACGGCCGGGCCACGCGGCCCACTGAAACGCACCTGCAGGCCTGCGCGCCCCATTCCACCCGCCTGCCTCCAGACCCCACTCCGAGCTGCCCAGGCGCAGAGCAGCCGACCAGTCCCTTCCCTCCGGGGCACGGCCGCGAACACGCCGGGCTGCGGCGTTCCTGCGCCTCGGTAAAGACGCTCCTGCTGCAGGAGCCGGCACCGGCGAGCGGAGGGTCCACACACAACAGCATCTGCGATGCAAGGCGGCGGGGGCATGGGCGGGGGCACTGGGTGGGTCCCGCGACACGCCACCCAGCAGGGCCCATGCTGCCCGAGCTGTCACCTTTGGATTCGCTCTTTTGTTTGCTGTTTGTTTTTGAAAAGTGCGTGTCTCCTGCCATTGCTGAGGCAGCTGAGGCCAAGCACATCCTCTCAGGCCTCTGCTTGGGCAGCTGCTGTAAAGGTTGGGGGGTGGGGGAGGGGCTGCCTTCTCTGCACCAGAAGCCCAGGCCTCTCGAGCCCCATTCCTTTTTTTTTTTTTAAAGATTTACTTATTTATTTATTTATACAAGCACTGGGTACAGTCAGAAGCACAGGAGGGTGAGAGAACCCAATAGAGCCAGAGCGGGGAGCAGAGCAGGCAGAAGGACCGAAGGACACTGCTGAGGGGAGCAGCGGGCGGCAGGAGAGGTCTGCGCGCCATGTGGGACCCTCCTCCGGTGGCCGGGGAGCAGCCGGGGATCGAACCGGCGCTGCAGAGGCTTCGGGCAGCTTCGCAACCCAGTGCTCAACCACTGCACCACCGGGGAGGCCCCTGAGCCCCATTCTTTTTCTAAAGATTTATTTATGCACACAAGAGCTGGGGTGCAGGCCAGAGGTGCGGGGTGAGAGGATTCACCAGAGACAGAGCGGGGAGCAGAACAGGCAGACTGACTGAAACACACTGCTGAGGGGAGCAGCGGGGAGCCAGGAGAGGTCTGCTGCGCCATGTGGGTTGCTCCCTGGCTGGGGATGGAACTCGTGCTGCAGAGGCTGTGGATTGCTTCATAGTGCAGTGGTTAACCCCTTGTGCCACCAGGGAGGCCCCCCATTTATTTTTTAAAGATTTATTTATGCATACAATAACTATGGTGCAGACCAGAGATGTGGGGTGAGCAGATTCACCAGAGATAGTGGGGAGCAATGGGGAGACAGGAGAGGTCTGGCCAGGGGTCGGACTCAGGCTGCAGTGGCTGAGGGAGGCTCTCGAGCCCCATTTAAACAGACACGGGGTTGGGGTCTTCAGATAGCTGGGCATCCCCAGGGTCCCCAGCACCTCCTGGTGCACAAACTAACCCCCCAGTGGGGTGTGCCTGGCCACGGGCTCATGTGGAAACACAAAAAGCAAAAAAAAGGAACAAGGCGGGGGCCTCCCTGATGGCGCAGGGGTTAAGTCTCAACGCTATCAAATTATCACCACTTCCACCCGGCCAGGGAGCTACCCACAGGGTGCAGCGGACCCCTCCTGTCTCCCCGCTGCTCCCCTCGGCAGTGGATCTCAGTGGATCCACCTGCTCTGCTTCCCAGATTGTCTCTCATGAGTCCTCCATACCTCTGGCCTGTACCCCAGCTCTTGTATGCCTAAATACATACATCTTAAAAAAAAAAGGTATTTCTGAGAAAACACCCGGAAGGGCCACCAGCACACGGGAAACGCTCACCCCCACGAACGGGTGCACAGAAGCCCACGATGCAGTCGGGCTCACAAACAGACCACAGCTGACGTTTCCAACCAGGGGTGCGCCCGGCCTGGGAGGAGGGCCTGCCCCGGAGGGGGGACGCGCTGCAGGCCTGTACACAGCGGGCACCACTCAGCCATGCACAAGGAGGAAATCGGCCCCTTGTGACCGGGGGCAGGCGGGCGGGCGGGCTCAGGCACGCGCAGCGCATGGGCACGAGGGGACAGAGGAAGGGAAACCAAGCCGAGGTCGCGCCCCCCCAGGGCTGGGTGGGGAGGGGGAGCCGGGAGGACGGGGCAAGGGGCCGCGCACTGGCAGGGCCTGTGGGCTGGGCGAGGGGTGGGTGGTGACACAGTGGCACTGCGGTGACCCGCCCCCGGTCCCAGTGTGGTGCCCGACGCTGCGGGCGCAGGCAGCAGCCGTGTTTGAAGAAGAAACACAAAAAAGTCCTTCCCAAACTGATGTGTGTGATGACACCACGGTCGGTCGGCGGCATCGATTCCAGCAGATGCCTGGGAAGGCGGCCTGAGGAGCAGCAGCCGTCAGCGCCTCCGCTCCAAGGTTCAGGGCTCCCGGAAGCTCTGCCCCGCGGCGCTGAGAACAGCCCTCCTCCGGGCAAGGCTGACTGGCCGCGCACGCAGCGCCGTCCATCAGGACACAGGCATTCACCGGAGTGTCCCAAACGCAGCCACGGAGGCCCGGATTAATCATCCCACGTCCCGCATTTTATCTCAGGCAGGAATACGCAGTGTCAGCGCTCGGAGCTCTGGGGGCAGGCGCTGGGCTGTGCGCGCGGCTGTGGGGCGCGGGTGCCCCCTCCTCCGACTCTGTCCCCTGGTGTGAGAGCGAGGCCCGCTTGGGGGTGCCACCGGGGTGGGTGAGGCGGACATTGGGCGCTGGCCCGTCCCCGCCGTGAGGGGCTCCTCCTCATGCAGGGCACTCAGCACAGCCCTTCCACGCTTGAGGGCCTCTCTAGAGGTTTCCTTCATTTTTTGCTGTCAAATTTATAGCCAAAGCAGCTGGATTTAAACTCATCTTTAAGATGTCTGGCTGGGGGGCCTCCCCGGTGGCGCAGCGGTTGAGCGCTGGGTTGCGAAACCGCCCGTGGCCTCTGCGGCGCCGGTTCGATCCCCGGCCGCTCCCCGGCCACCGGAGGAGGGTCCCCCATGGCGCGCAGACCGCTCCTGCCGCCCGCTGCTCCCCTCAGCAGTGTCCTTCGGTCCTTCTGCCTGCTCTGCTCCCCGCTCTGGCTCTGGTGAATTCTCTCACCCTCCCGCGCTTCTGACTGTACCCAGTGCTTGTATAAACAAGACAAACAAACAAACAAATAAATAAATAAAACATGCCTCTAAAAAAAAAATGTCTGGCTGGGGCCTCCCTGGTGGCACAAGGGGTTAAGCACCGCACTATGAGGCAATCCACAGCCTCTGCAGCATGAGTTCGATCCCCAGCAGGTCAGGGAGCTACCCACAGGGCACAGCAGACCTCTCCTGTCTCCCCGCTGCTCCCCTCAGCAGTGTGTTTCAGTCAGTCTGCCTGTTCTGTTCCCCACTCTGTCTCTGGTGAGTCCTCTCACCCCCTGCGTCTCTGGCCTGTACCCCAGCTCTTGTATAAATAAATAAATCTTTGAAAAAAAAAAAAAGATGCCAGCTTGGCCACCCGCCTGCCGCGTCAGTGGGGGTCCAGGTGTCCCTTTCCCAGGCTCAGCCCAGGGCCCTGCCCTGGAGGGCCCAGGTGGCATGGGCTGGGATGAGGGTGCCGGGGCAAAGACCAGGCCCACCTGGAAGAACAGGGGCGCCTCCCTGGGTGAGTCCTTTCTCCTACTCAGGCGGCAGCACCGCCAACTTGCTTTAGAGCCACCACTAAAGGGACAGAAACGTCTCTGTCTGAAGCAGCAAGCTCAAGAAGACACTAAACACAACTATAAATATTTTCTCTAGATCCCTCCAAACGTTAGCAAGTCTGAAAACTGAGTCATTTGTTTTGAATACTTGGTTGAAACTTCACCCCAGAACCACACAGGAGGGAGGTTTCACCAGAGAAGAGACGAGAAGCAGGACTAGCGACGCTGCTGCTAATTCTGTGAGATTCTGCTGCGCATTCAGTGCTCTTGGTGCCGTCACCGAGCGCCAGAGGAGACCGCGAGGGCCAGGCCCGCTGTGCTTGCGCTGCGGCCGGCCAGGCGGTGCCCATAACATGCCAGGGACGGTGCCAGCCCCTGCTGCTCAAAGACGCAGCCCATCTGTCTGGGGCCCCTCACTGGGTGGGGGCTGGTGGAGGGGTCACTGGAATAAAAGCAAAGAGTAGTAAAGCCTCACATTTAGGATCAAATGATTCTGACAAGGTTGTCCAGGCAGTTACTGGGAAACGAATAGTTGTTTTTAAGGGTTCTGTGTGACTGGACGTCCACACGTCAGGCAGGTTTGGGCACCTGCCTCACGCCATCAAAAATGAACCAAATAGGGCCTCCCTGGTGGCGCAAGGGGTTAGTTAAGCACAGCACTAGGAAGCTACCCACAGCCTCTGCAGCACGAGTTCGATCCCTGACCAGGGAACAACCCACAGGGCGCAGCAGACCTCTCCTGTCTCCCCGCTGCTCCCCTCAGCAGTGGGTTTCAGTCAGTCTGCCTGTTCTGCTCCCCACTCTGTCTCTGGTGAATCCTCTCACCCCCCCCCCCACACCTCTGGCCTGCACCCCAGCTCTTGACTGCATAAATAAATCTTTAAAAAAAGAAAATGAACCAAACACCGAAACACAAGAGATGAAGCTGCAACAGCCACAGCGAGGACACAGGAGTGGGCTCTGACCGGTGCGGGCGGGGTCCCCACACGACACCAAAAGCCCAGCCAGCTCACGAGGTGCCAGCGGGCCCGACCAACACTCACCCCGGAACCCGGGAAGGAGGCCCCGACTCCTGGCTCAGGTATAGGGGCTCACGGCACAGGCCATGTCCCACAGGCGGGACTGGGTCCTCGCGACTGGCCTGCACCCCACCCGTCCGAGGGCTCACGCGCGGAAAGGAAAGCGCTCGCGGACACTGGCCCTGCCCCAGCCCTGATGCCCGCCTGTGCCTGCGGAGCCGTCTGCTCAGGGCCGCCCTTGCCTGGCCTATACAGGGCCTTGGGGACTAGGGGAGTGGAGCAAACAGCTCTCCTTCAACCGCAGTCCCCTGATCACCAGTTTCAACGGAAACACACTGAGCACAGCCACCAGCCTGGTATCTGTAAGGGCAACTAATAATGCCCTGGAGCCAGACATGTGCCTGCTGCGGGGCTGCTCTGGGAAAGACAGGCACTCAAGCGCTCTGCGGGCGGGACCGTTAAGTCTGTGGTGCTGCCAGCACCGCCAGGCCCCACAGCTATACAGCCGGATGAGCTGTGGGCCTGGGGCAGCCTGGCGCGGACACGGCCGCCCCATGAGAAGGAGGCCGCCACCAGCCAGCTTGGCCCCCCCCCAACAAGAGCACCCTGGCGGCCGGCCTCACTGAGGAGCAAGTCTGCTGACCTGGGCGGGCGGCTCGATCGCGATCCAGGCTGGAAGCATCAGACTGGGGTTCAGAGGCTGTGTCCCGACGCGGAAGTAGACGCCACCCCGAGAATCGCAGGCCCAGACGTGCTGGTGTCCACACGCCAAGCTGGTCAGCGTCACGGCTCCTGCAGACAAAGGGGAGCAGGCCACGGTCACCCCTGCGGCAGGGCTGAGCTCCCTGCAGCCCGGGAGCTCTGACTTTAGCTTCAAATAACGGACGAGCCGCGCCCGCAGATGGACCTGCTGCTGAGGAGACGAGCACGGCCATTCCCAGGGCCGCGGCTGCCAGTCCCCCCGGCCCCTGCGGGCCTTCTCGGGCAGGGAGAGGCAGCCGGGGTGCCGCCAGTGCAGGGCCCCTGCCTCCTGACACGGGTGCCGGCCGCCAGCAGACGCTGCGTTCGGGGGCGGAAGCTCATCTTGCAGGAAACTGGCCTGACTTTAGAGTCACAGTGAGGTACCGCTCCCCGGAGCCGTGTCTTTCAATACTTCTTGTCAGGAAAGCTGATTGTAAGCAGGGGAACAACAGTCTTCACGGAGAAAACACTTGGCAGCACCCGGGCTGGTGGGAGCGCGGCGGCCAGCAGGCACCGCCGGGCGGGATCCAGGCCCATCTCTCCAGCCTCACGACACAGACGTCCGTTCAGCACAAGGCCCCGGGGAACTGGCCATGAAGACATTTTCCCAGGACCCCATGGCCGGATGGCAAGGCCAGAGGCAGAGGGTGGTCCAGGGGGACCCAGCTCTGCAGCTCCCTCTGACCCCCAGGACTCCACACCCCATGACTTCAGGACTCAGGTCTTCAGCCCGTCAGTCCTGACACACACCCCCGCACAGCCAGGTGCCAGCGACTGCCCACACTGCCCATCCTGCCCCCAGCCCGGGAGGGCCTGGCACTGCCCTCCCGGCCACCTCACCCATCGCGGGCCGGGCAGCCTGTCCGGTCCCTGCAGGTGGGGGCGTGAGCTGCTGCCGCTAATCTCACAGAGACCATGTTCTCACAGGAGGCACCGAGGCATGAGCTGCTGGGCCAGAGGGCAGAGGTTTGCTTTTTAAGGAAACTGCTGGTTTGCCCGCTCGACCACATCCATGTCATCAGCAGCTGCCGCGGCCCGGCACCCTTTCGAGCTCGTATGCGGCCAGCTGGAGGCCGGAGCTTGTCTTGGCCATGCTACCACACCTGCCACCTGTGCTTGGGCGCCGTGTGCCTTCCTAGTGCTGGCTGCCAGGGCCAGCGCCCCACGGGGAAGCTGCGTCGAGGGTCTTGGGGGTCTGGACACTGGCTAGCACTGGCCATGCCGCTGCATGCTGCCCCCTGGCCTGCAGCCTCTTCATTTTCTTAGCAGTGTTTCCAATTTGAGGGCGACGTGGACTTTGAAGCAGAGGACGAATAGCTGGGGTGGCCACATGGGCTGGTGGGCGGCTCTCGCCAGTCCCCATCCGCTGGCGCGCTCGGGAGGGCAGGTGGCCGGCTGTGAGGCCGCGCAGGGACCAGGTCGGGTTTCCACCACCTCGACGCCAACACAGAGCTACTCCCAAAGACGACCCTCCCCAGGAGGCCCCTCTACTGTCCTCTCCTGGCCGCCCCGGGATGTCTCACCAGGGAGTCAGATGCCCGTGCGCGCCAACTTTGCACGGTCAGCACTTTGTACCAACCAGAACAAAGTACTTACAGTGTAAATTCCGGGAACAGCTGAGAAACAAATGCGAATTGGACATGAATCAATGTTGACGCCATCACCCTGCCCCGGCGGGACCGAGGCGAGCGGCGGCGAGCACAGGGTGACAGCGGGTCCCCAGGACCGCCAGGGGCAAGAGGCCCTGGGGCAGGACTGGAGGCAGACACGGCGCCGCTCCCGTGGGCTGGTGGACAGGCCAACAGATGCCCCAGGCCCAGTCTCCTGCTGCCAGTTTTCTTGGACTGTTTTTTTTTTCTTTTTACCATTCCTGAGTTATTTTCCCACACTATCGAGTCGCTGCTGTGGGGAGAAAGGGAACAACCGTGGGCACAGCCTCCACGAGACCCCCGAGATGGCCATGGCCTGTACGACCCCCGGCTGCAGCTGGCAGGCACCCTTGGGCGGCAGCAATGCTGCTTGGGCCAAGGCCACAGCCCTTGCATCCTCAGCCAGTAAAGGCCACGTCTGCCCTCCTGCCCCAGCCCTGAGGCCACACAGACCCCGGCCCGCACCTCGGCTCTTGCGGGCGGGCTGCGAGGACCAGAGGCCTGTCACTTCTGTAGATGCGTCCAGCAGTGGCACAGCAGACGGCGCTTTGCGGGAGCAGATGGCCGGGCGGGTGCATGGCAACGCCGCCGCCTTGGCACCCGGGGCTCCACCTCCCGCCTGACCAGGCAGACGCTGCGACACTCCTGCTGGCACTGCCCTGACTTTTCCAACCCTTTAAGAGAAATTTTAATTACTTTATTCTACGGAATAGACGTTTTCTCTTTTCTTTTTAAACATGTATTTTAAAACAAGGGCACTTATCTGGAGCTTTACTGTTTCTAAAACTTGTCTGCACAAATTGTGCACAACACGGTGCTACTGTGCCCTCACACACACACTCAGGCCGAGTGTCCGCCACCCGCGCGCAGCCAGGAGACTCCAGGAGGAGCCGCACCTGCCAGCGCCCCAGGGCTCGCCAGCATCTGCTGAACGAAGTGGATTCTGTTCCCCAAGCTGGGATCATAAGCCACAAAACTCCGCACTTAGACTCTACAGCCAGGTCAGCAGCGTGACATTTAGGAATTCTCTTAGTCGCAAAGCCGCAAACGCCACGTTGGCAATGGGCATGGGCAGGAAGGAGGGGCTGTGTCTCGGGGAGAACCTACGGCAGGAATCGCATTCCCGCTCGCTCACCCTGCGGGGAGTCCTGCAGAGTGGGGCCAGGGCAGCGCCTTCCGGCCTCGCCGTGGGCCGGGCGCGTTCTCAGCACCGGGACAGCTCTCGCTGTCTGTGCTCGGGCCAAGGACACTTAGGCGGGAAAGGCCAGACGGAGAGAAGCGTGTCCCAGAACAGCCGTGATAAATGGACCTCTCCCGCCCGAGCCCGGCAGGCCGGTGCACTGGGGCTGGAGCCGAGATGCCCCACCATGGAGGCTTGTGGGTGCGCGGCATCTTCACGCGCATGGCAGCGGTTCTGGGAACCACCATCCGGGCCACCTACAGGATCGACTCGCACGCCCGAGCCGCTTATAAACGGAGCCACGATGACAACAGCCTTGCCTGACAGCCCAGTTTCCCGCTGGTGTGGGCTGTGGCTGAGCACGTGCTCCCTGGTGCAGATGCGCCCCACGCTCCATGTGCAAACATCTCCTGAGCCAGAACAGGCGCAGAGCACCCGTATCATCGACCGAAGGAAGGTCAGGGGACAGGATGGTCTCAGCTGATGCCTGGAGGAAGAAGAGCTGGAGACGGGAAGATCAGGCTTGGCGCCTGGGGAGGGCTGGTGGCTGGAGCCAGGCCAGGGCAGGCTGTGAGGCCCAGGCACCTCCTCGGACACTGGATTCCAGGCAGCACAGAGTCCCCGGACGGCAAGGGTGCACCTCCTGAGCTGTGCACCCCTGGCACCAAGAGGTGGTCGCTGCAGGGGCTCTGGCCCTGGCAAAGGCAGGAGGGAAGCAGATGCTAAGAGCCAAGGGCCCGGGCTAGGCAGGTGGGTGAGACACCCCTGACCACACTGGTTGGCTGAGGATTGCGAACAGCCAAAAAGCAACCTGCCCTCCCCAGCAGACCTCAGTGGGAGGAGAGCACAGCCAGATGAAAAGCACGCCTGAGGGAGGAGTGTGCTATGGACAACTTGCACACAGGCAGAGTTTCGGTCCTGAAAGTGCTTCCTTGCACAGCTGAGACCCAGCATAGCCAATCCCAGAGCAGAGGGTCCCAGCACGCCCCAGAAGCACAGCAGCATGTGTGCCAGGGCCCCGCCGCACAGGCCCCGCTGGCCGTGGGCACGCACCCCTCGCTCTCGGGGCTCCGGGCAGGCGGCACGCAAACTGCACTCACGCTGCACCCATGTAGTCGGTAGGAAGGCCCACTGGCCTGCTGGCCCACAGCCACACACGCCCCCCAGCCGTCATTCTGCACCAGCCAGTGAGCCATGAGAGGAACAAGCACCAGAGCCAGAGGGGGACAGATGCTGAGGGCCAGCTTCCCAGCACAGCCCCTGCCAGCCACGTCTCAGCTCTCAGGGTGGCGCCTGCCCAGGACAGCCGTGGTTCGTAGAGTCGTGACCCTGTGCTGGCTCCGGGATGGGGCACCGGTCCCATGAGCGACGCTGGAGGCTCAGGGCTCACCCAGCAGTTCGCCTGGGCCCCGCTCTGCACACAGCCAGCACTGCAGCTGCTGCTCCATCCTGCCCTTGCCTGGCCCACCTCGGCCCTACCCGCGCCCACCCACCGTGGTGGGCTGGGCTGGGTGCCAGCGTGTGACCAGCTCAGGATGTGGCTGGAGGCAGGCGGCCCAGTGAAGGCTGATTCCCCGGCTCCAGCACCCACCCTCAGTGAGCTGCTGCCCACGAGCTCCCCCTGAACTTCCTTCTGCCCAGCCTCCGCCTGCTGAGCTTCTGGAGGCTCCAGCCACTTCTTGGACCTGGGACAGCCTGTTCCTGCCTCCTTCCACTCAAACTGGGACTCAAGCCCCCTGAGACTCAGCCCCCCATCACTGAGTCCACCCCCCAACAAAAGTGGCTACTGCCTCACAGGCCCACAGGGGCAGCTCAGAGACCTGTGACCTTGTAGTCTCCAGCCAGCACCAGGAGGACTGGACAGTGGTGGGAGGGAGGCCTGGGCTGAGGGTGGAGACTGAGTAGAGCTGGAGCCAGCGCATGGAGCTGGGCTTCCAGGGCAGGGCAGCAGCCCCGCGGAGGGGCTAGAGGGCTGGTGCAGTGCCCAGATTTGCTTCTGACCCCACTGTGCCAATGAGCCTGGCTGCCACAGCTCACAGGCCCAGGGTGGGGAGGACAAAGACCAGGGCCTGCCTCTCCAGCTCCGGAGGGCGTGGGGGTGTCTCCACTCATCCTGCTGGGGCTCAGGCCGCAGGATCTCTGGGCAGCGTCAGGCGCTCTAGATGGCCGCAACTGGCCTGTCACTCCAGTCCAGGGGCCGCAGGTGCTCTCGAGGCAGGAGGGGCTCGGCACGGATGCCAGGGGGAGGCCACAGCATGAGCAACGGAGAGGACAGTGGAAAACCCTGGATCTTGGATAGCGCTTGCTTCTTCAGCTAAGAACCAGCTGCTTTAGTTCAGCTGGATTATTCTGGGGGGGCCTCACCGGACGTCCGCATGGTGTCCTCGTGGAGCCACGTGTGTTGAGATTGCTGCTGTGGCAGCCTGCTCAAGCAGACTCGAGGCCAGGCCTGCTTTCTGGGGTGGGGGTGGGGGGTCCTTGTCTGCTGGAGATGCTGCCGGGGGGCTGTGGCGGGGGAGAGGACCACCCACTCACCCTGCTTTCTCCTCTCCCCTTTTTGTAAACACATGTTCTCAAGTATCAAGTGCTTGTGCAATCAATTCCAGGACACGCCGGGAGACACACCATGAGTGTGCTGGGTGGGACATGGGACGGTGGCGTGTTCTCCGGGCCCACACAGGCCCTCAGGGGCACCTACCCACAAGCCTCGGCCTTCACAGGAGCCACATCTAAGTGGCCGGGCGATGGGAAATTTGCGGGAAGGACACTGATGGTGTGGGCTCATTCTTCGAGCATATTCCTCAGCATACAGATGGTCATTCATAAACAACATCAACCCACTTGCCCCTCTGGCCTTGGAGGAGAGTCGAGGGAAGCTGTCAGCGGGGGCAGGGCCCTGGGGCAGGCGCCCCAAGAGTGGGAGCTCTGTGCCTGGCTCCACAGACTGGCAGGGCAGCTTCCTCCACGCAGGGGAGGGGAGATCCTTACCGTGTGGTCTGTGACCACCCCCTGACATCCAGCAACTTCCAAAACATCACCTAAGCACCCACACAAACGCAACACAGGGCTGGGGCTTTGCCTGCGCATGAGGCGGCGTACCTAGCTGGGAGAGGTCCAGCTGGGTCCAGTGCATGCCTGTGGGGCAGCTCTTGGACAGCGTTCGGATGAAGACCTGGCCCTGGCTGTCCAGGGCCCAGAGTGCGTCGTGGCAGGCGGCGTAGGCCTTCATCTCCACATCGGGCGGCAGCTGCACAGTGGAGGGGCGGGACTGGGCGTCGTGCGCGCTGACGCTGCACAGGTCCTTGCTGCTCTGGCACAGCCACAAGGAGCTTCCTGCGGGAAAGGGCGTCCGTCACGGGAGGCGCATGGCAGCCTGGGCGCGGGAGCTGGGGCTGTGGTTAGTCAGAGGGAGACGCTCCACCAGCCGGGGAGCAGGGCCTGAGCTGCGATCTGAAGGGCATGGGAGAAAAGCAGGGCAGAGGTGTCGCAGCGGGCCAGGCCACAGTGTGGGCGACAGTGATTTGTGGGGACATGGTCCCTGGCTCTCAGCAGCCCGGTGCCAGGTGCGCCGTGCCCTCCAGTGGCAGGGCTGGGGGTGCTGCTGGAGAAGTGGAAGCCTCTGCCCACCCTCACCTCTAGCCCTGCCCCGTCATTCTCATGGTCTGAGGAGCCCAGACGTTGAAATTTCAGCCTAAAATGGAAATGACCCTCAGGGAGGCTAAAACCACCTTCCTGTTCTCTGACGGGTGGCCATAGGTCTGGACTCAAGTATCTGGGCCTGGAAAAGCAGAAGCGCATGAGGGGCTGGCAGTACCCAGGGCCGGCACCGCACCTGCCCTACGCCACAGGGTCGGCCTCCGCAGCGGAGATGGGGACGGGTGTGGCTCCCACCTGCTGCACGAGCACACCCTCCTCCCCTGCTACTCGGGGCTTCACCTATCCCGACCGGGCTTCCAGTGCATTCTCATGTGCCCCTCAGTGCAGTCCTGGGAGGAGCTTTGGCCACGTCCCTGGGCCACCTAACTGCTCGGTCTCCCAGCTCACTGGGCAGCTGGCGACCCCCCGGCTCCCAGATCTGCCCTACCAGGGGCACGCATGGGGCTTAGGCTGGCCAGAGGCTATCAGCCAGGCAGAAAGAGGCTACAGGAGGACAGAGGAACCCACAGGGTAACGGGAAGGTGCCCAGAGTGGCCTGGTGGCCACTGGCCACAGACCAGGGCCCATACTGAACACCCCCTCGCTCAGAAACTGCTCGGTGCTCGACTCGCTCGGCTTCCCCAGGAGGCACTTGTGGTCAGCTCATCCAGCTTCGGGACCCCTGGCTCTGCCTCCAAGGGCTGCCCGCTGTGTCAGCCCAGCGCCCCCCAGGTCCACAAGCGCTCCCCCTCCCCGGCCACAGGAGACCACAGACCAGCTCTCCACCTGCCAGCCCTCGCCCTAGCCTCCCTGACCAACCTTCCTTCGTGGGGGCAGCGGAAGCCAGCACAAAGGCCCACTTTGTCGCAGAAGCCGTCCCGCGGGGAACCACATTATTCCAGTAGGTGCCTGCAAAGGGGGATGGAAAGAGGGTGCTGAAGAAAAGCCCCCACTTCAGAGCTTGAGTCTGCACAAGATGGACTTTGGCACCTCCCACAGCCAGACGGTCCTCAGGTTAGGTCCCAGCCAGCCCCGGCTTCCTCCTACCACCAGCGAGCAGAGCCCCGGTTTTGGTGGGGCTCCCCCAGTCCAAAGGGAGCAAAGGCACGAGGCCGGGGATCTGCTGGGCCCGCCCTGCCCACGGGGCTTCAGGACTGCTCCCCGGCGAGGCTCTTCAGGCCCGGGCCACCCACATGACCGCACTGTGCCTGCCCTCGTGTTTGGTCCTCGCTTGCTCTTCGTGCCGGGTCCTGGGAGAGTCGCACCATCCAGCCCGGGCGCAGGTCCTGAGCGACAGGCTGGAGAAGGGGTGCCCGCCCAGTACCGAGTCTCCTGCTCAGGGCAGCCCCAGGCTTTCCTTAAAGGCTGGCTTTAGGCGAGGCTGCCGGGAAGGCCAACGTGAAGAGGAAGGCAATTCACCCACCGAGGAGGCTTCCTTTCGCGACGTGGAATTCATTCTTGCCCGAGGAGATCCAGACGCCGCTGTGGTTCACGGCCAGAAGGCTCGGCTGGCACTGGAGCTGCTGAGACCAAAAGGCCAGGCGCAGCTTGTCCGCCACCTTCTCCACGGGCACTTGGGCAGCTGTGGCCACCGAGTGTGTGGCGTGGATTATGGTCTGGAAGAGGCTGCCCTGGTCAAACACCACGTAGTCTGTGATGCTCACCTGGAGGGGCAGACACCCTGTTCTCAGTGCAGCCACCTGCCTGCCCACTGCCTGCCAGGCAAGGGGCTGCCATGCCACCCGGCTCCAATGTGGCTTTCCCGACAGACACATTCGCTGGGAACCTCTGGCTGGGACAACCTCTCTCTTCTCAGGCAGCCAACAGCTATAAAGCTCTCACAGTTGGGCTGCGCAGGCCTCTGCCCTGCTGGGCTCGACTACAGAGAACACAACGCCTGACCCCCCAGGTCACACCCCCAGAGCTGAGTGAACGTGAAGTCACCTGCCACAGAGGACTTGACTTACTGTAAACAAGGACACACAGAAAGGAAGGGGCTCAGGGCCCTCTGCCCCTCTAGGGGCATGCACAGCCCTCACCTCACCCAGAGGTGGGGGGTTCCACACGGGAAGTCCGTGACAGACCCAGTCCAGCACCAAGCTTTGCAGACAAACAGGACACAAATTTTAAAAGAAAGAAGAGTCTCCAGCCAGACACACGGCTGGCTCCTGGGTGACGAAGCCAGGCTCAGCATTAGAGGGCTCTCCTTCCAAATTCCTGAAAGACCACGCCGTCGAGCCACACTTCCCTAAAGACAGGGTTCCGAGTAGGAAGGCAGAATGGGCCAAGCTTTCCTTGGGCTACGTAGAAACAGAATTTACGTATGCACACACCTGTATGTATACAAAACCACCGTGTGGTTGCATGTGCAGAGAAGGTATTTTAAAATCATTTGAGGGGGCCTCCTTGGTGGTGCAGGGGTTAAGTCTCGCATTATGAAGCTATCTGCAGCCAGTGGGGCCTGAGTTCAATCCCTGGCCAGGGAGCTGACCCACAGGGCGCAGCAGACTTCTCCTGTCTCCCTGCTGCTCCCCTCAGCAGTGGATTTCATTGGATCTGCCTGCTCTGCTCCCCACTCTGTCTCTGGTGAATCCTCTCACCTCTGCACCTCTGGTCTAAACCCCAGCTCTTGCATGCATAAATTGATAAATCCTAAAAAAAATCACTTGTACTATTTTTCATCTGGGGTGTGGAATTAGAGGCACGTGTGCACGCAAACACATTGGTCAAAGAGCAAACGCTGCTCCTTTCCACCTTCTCACCTGACAGGCCTAATGGGAGACCTGCCTCAACAAGGTAAGGCTGGGCTGAGCGGGCGAGACCCAATGGCTGGGGGTCAGTGCCCCTCACCCACTGGGGAGACCAGGACGCCGCCCGACACCCTGGTCACGGGGCAGCATGCTGTCGAAAACACAGCCCAGGCCTGGGGGCCTCAGCATGGCAAGTTACTTTGATCACACCCTCCCATTTCTCAAAGTGTTTCTTTTTCTGGGAGCATGTGGGAAAATCCTCCTCTCTTTGTGGAAATAGCATTTACCAAGAGACCTTTGACTACGCAAAGATAGTTGGACTTTAATTGTGGGTTGGGTTTTTCAAACCTATTGTCTCGTGTCTCTTCTTAGCGTGTTTGTTCAGACTTAAACATCATTATTACCCGCACTCCCAAACGGCTGTCACTGGGGCTAAGGAGATTCTAAATCTCTCAAATCAAAAACATCAAGAGCCCGTGTATTCAGCGCCGCGGGCGCCCCGCGGCCTCTGGCGCGCTGCCTCACAAAAGTAAAAGTGCAGGCTGCTAGCGTGGCCCAGCCTCCGGGGCCCTTGCGCGGGAAACGGGGCCTGTGAAAGGGGGGCCGGAACCCTTGACTCTGGGCCCAGCCCAGGCAGGGCTCAGCACCCACCTGCCACCAGTGCTCGTCCTCTCCCTGGGGCTTCTTGGCCACGACGCCCGTTCTGAACCATAGGTTCCCGTGCACGTCCAGGGCCCAGAGGGTCTGCTGGTCCCCAAGGGTTATACACACGGGCTCCAGAGCCTGCCTTTCACTGCAAACAAGGAGCACAGGGAGTCAGCGCCCCGAGAAAGCATTGCGCTGTCAAGGAGGGCTGGTAACCAGTGCCCCCGGGCGTGGCATGGGAGGAGATGTGCCTCCCGCCGACTCCGCAGAGAAGCCTGAGCTCTGGTTAATCACTGTACGGAAGGGAGGTGCCCAGGCGTGGCAGCTTCTGAAAGACACATGGGGCCTGGAGTGTTAGGGGAAGCTCTGGAGCGCACTAAGTGGCGGGGAGCAGGCACAAGGCGCTCAAGGCCCCAAAGGCCCCTGCCTTATGTGACACCCTCCTCCACGGAGTGGCCAGGCCCAGCCCCGAGGCAGGCTGTGATGGGCAGACACTGTCCTCTCTGTGGGCAATGCCCTCCCCCACCCGCCATCCGGGGAAGTCCTCCCCAGCGTCCAGGCTTGACGGCCCTCCACTCCTGGGGCCCTCACCTCTGCATGTGCAGTCACAGCCCTGGGGTTGCCCGCCCACTCTGGTGAGTGCCCTTGCGCAACCGGAGCCAGTCAGTCTGCGTGGCCCCACGGGCTCCGCCACCTTTGCCCACCTGGCCCAGCACAGTTCACACAACAGGGACTCATTGAAAGCCGCAGGACATCAACTTGAACCAAGAATATCCTGATCTACCTATTCCTAGACTGACTAATAACCTCATTTTAGCAGAATGATCTGGTGGTAATTCTGTGACTAAAGTTTTCAAAGATACAAAGTAACCCCGTAAAGAGATCAATTTTAATTGACTAGGAAGAAAACAAAAAACTTGGCTCCCAACACTCTGAGGCTGTCAGCATAAATGACACCACTGGGTGGTTCTGGTCAGACTCAGCAGAGACTCAAGGGGCCGCAGAGCACCGACTGCCCAGCCTGGTGTCAGTGTCAGGCAGCGCCAGGGTCAGGCTGCGCAAGCTTGGCTGCCCACTCAGACACCGTCACCATGGAGACCGGGAAGTGGCCCTTGTGGAGCCTGCCGCCGCCAAGCCCAGGGCGCAGGGGGGGCCACGGGACGCCACCTGGCGGTACCTGACGATGTCACACTTCCACTGCTCCCCTTCTGGACAGAAGCTGCTCACGCCCTCCCGGTACAGGAGCGCCCTCTGCTCCGTCAGCGCCCACACCACGCTGTTGCGGGCTGTGACCTGGGCCAGCGGGTACGGACAGTCGACCTTCACGGCGCGTGCACAGGGGCGATCCACGCTGAGACCTGCCAGTGAGACAACAGGCGGCCGGAGGCCCGGTCAGGTGCACACACCTGCTCTGTGTCTGCTTGCCAGCCTCTGGCGTTCTGCTATATTCTTTTTTTTAAAAAAAAAACATTTATTTATTTATGCATACAAGAGCTGGGGCACAGGCCAGAGATGAGGGGGTGAGAGGGTTCACCAGAGACAGAGCGGGGAGCAGAACAGGCAGATCGACCAAAGTACACTGCTGAGGGGAGCAGTGGGGAGAGAGGAGAGGTCTGCTGCGCCGTGTGGGTAGCTCCCTGGCCAGGGATCAAACTTGTGCTGCAGAGGCTGCGGACAGCTTCACAGTGCGGTGCTTAACCCCTCGCGCCCCCAGGGAGGCCCCACTATATTCTTTTTACGGTCCATTCAATGCCGAATGGTTAGACTGTGTTTAAATGTAACACCTATCTGGTATTTTCAGGTGTTCTTGGAAACTGAATAACAATTACGACTTTCCTGGCGTCCTCAAGACATGGGACCCAGGGCCAGAGAGGGACTGGACCCAGTGAGGCCGGGCGCAAGGGTCCCCAGTGCTCAGAGCGCCAGGCCTCAGCTCAGTGGGGCCAGAGGGGCCTCCCGAGGAGGAGGAACTCCAGCAGAGCAAGCAGCCCTCCCTGCTTTCATCTGGTGGGGTTTCCACTGCTGAACTAGACGCCCCAAACCCTGCACCCCCAGGTAAAGGGGGCCGGCTGGGCTGCGGCAGGCCAGGCCCTCAGCCCTCCTCACAGCCGCCCTGCCTGAGCTCACAGCTCACCAGGGGAGCGGGCTGAGTAGCTGTTACCAAGACCCACATTCCCTGGCCCAGCCCACAGGCAGGTCTCAGAGCTCAAATGTGTTCCCCGACTAGTCAAAGCCCTGAGTACTGCCCTCAACCATGTGGGGTCCCAGTAATGGGGACCAAGTGCCCAGGCCAGCCCGGAGACCAGCCCACTAGGTCTGGGCGCCTGTAAAACTGCCCTGGGGCTTCCTCCAGCGCTCCTGGCTGAGGTCATCCATCCCCACCCCAGGCCAGCAGCACCCATCTCCCCCAAGAACAGAACTGGAGGGCGGGCGCTGTGCAAGGCAGTGAGCCCCACGTCACGGCTGTTTTTCTCCTAAGAGCCCGGGTCTTGCCAGATGTCCCACGTGTTACTGCAGGGAGCTGGACCTGCCCCATGTCCGGCCTGGGCCGGGCCTCCAGCAGCCCCATGTGGGTGCCAGGCCCAGGGTGGATGCCCGATCTGCACAGCACCGTAGTTCTGAACCCCTGTGCACCCAGACTCCGCCGACCTCAGGCTCCGGGGCCGGGGTGACAGGAGCGAGCCACTGCGCCCTGCTGGATGTCAAGACTCGCACCCTCAGCGGGTCCGCTCCGGCTGATGTCATAATAGGGGTGAAAACATTCTCTCAGGGTCAGCAAACCAAACGGTTACGAGGCTGATCTTCATGGAGGCCTAACACGGCTTCCTGACGACCAGGGTAGAGCCGCCTCCCTCCTGTCTTTGATGCAGGCGCGTCACGCTGCTTGGGGAGCGTGTCCCCCTCTGCTGACAGTCTATGAGCAGTGACTTCCACCTGTTCATTTTAATAAATACATCCCCGTGTGTTCCTGCAGCAGCCCAGGCCCCCTCAGGGCAGCTTCCCTGACCAAACTGCTCCTTATCGCAGTCACTTTCTGAGTTTTCTCTGAGCACCATCAATCTGCATAGGCAGCGGGACAGAGCTCCTGAGAGGCCAGCCAGGAGCCCTAGGGCGCCAGGTCAGCCGCCAGGAGAGCATCCGCACCTCCCTGCACAGTGCCGGGAAGTCTTGCTCTAAATTTGTCCTGCTGCTGAGCCTCCCTGGTGGCACAAGCGGTTGGTTGAGCGCCATGCTGTGAAGCTGTCCACAGCCTCTGCAGTGCAGGTTCGATCCCAGGGAGATATCTACATGGCGCGGGAGACCTCTCCTATCTCCTTACTGCTCCCCTCAGCAGTGTATTTCAGCCAGTCTGCCACTTCTGTTTCCCACTCTGTCTCTGGTGGATCCTCTCACCCCCCGCATTTCTGGCCTGTACCCCAGCTCTTGTATAAAAATAAATAAATCTTTAAAAAAATAAATAAAAACAAAAAAAATTAATTTGTCCCGCTGCTGAGTCAGTAGCAAGAAACGGTTGCTCCGTTCCAATGGCAAATACTCTTTCCAGAGAGATTGAATGGAACCCATCTGAGCCCTCGGGACTGTCCTCCGCGGGACGCTGTTACCTGTCTGCAGGTACAGGTCTCCGCTCGTCCGGATAATCCAGGCGGTGTCGTCGCTCAAGGCCACGAACACGGCCTGGGGCAGGGCTTCATACCAGTGCCTTCGGCCCTTGACCGTGACTTTGCCGCAGGCGAGGGCGCGGTTAGACTTCTGCTCGATCTTCCAGAGAAGAGCCCCTGTGGAGAGAAGGCCGGCTTCTGCCCGCTGTCCCGCACACAGACGCCTCCTCCGGGCCCTGGGGGGAGAGCACTCAGCCCATGCGTGGCGCGGGGCCGCCAGCGGGGAGGGGCCCAGTCCGGGCCTGCACCGTCCACCAGGCTGCCATCGGGGGCCTCGTCCCCTCCCGCGTCCAGGCCTAGTTACCTCATCTGGGGAACAGGGTGAGGCTGCTGTGGGCTGTCAGGGGTTTTCATGCTGAGCGCCAGCCGGGCACAGGCAGGCACCCACACACGGCAGGCAGCCGTGCCACACGGCCAGGGCTGATGAGGCGCGTGCCCGGCGAGCACCGTGCGGCAGCCCTGCGGCCCCAGGACCCTCTGAGGGCGCCAAAGGAGGTCTCCTCCCCGGCCAGCTAAGAGGACGGGGGCATGAGAAGACGCAGTTGAGTGGAACTGTCCTCTTTCCGCGCAGAGAGGGGCCCTGCTGGATGGAGAGGACGGAGGCAGGAAGAAGGCAGTGCCCCGAGTGGAGGGCGTGGCAAGGCGCGAAAACAGAGGGGACAGAGGAGCACAGCTAGGCGGGCCCAGGGCCTGATTCACTCAGGGTGGGTATAGCACACGGGGTCTGCTGAGAGCAGCATCTGGTGGCGAGCACTCTCACGGAGCCTCAGGGCCTGGGGGTATGGGAATGGTGTGATTAATGCAATTCAGAAATAACCCAAGTCTCTAAGCGGCCAGGGAGCCGGACCAGAGGTAAATGAGAGCAAGAACAGCACAAGCAGTTACATAACCCCAGCCAAGGCTTGGCTGGTCTCTCGCCGGTCTGTAAGGAGAAATATTTTTTGATAAAGCAAAGCAACCCTGAACAGACCAGAATTTGGAAGCGTGACAAAAATCAGGGAGAGGGGAGAGGTGAGGTCACTGTGCCTGGGGGGCCGGCTTAGGCTCAGCCTCACATGAAGGCCCCCGTGGGGTAGAGATGCAGCTCTCCTGCCCCCGCTGCCGGGCCCACGGGTGACGTGGGCAACATGGCAGACGGTGGGCCCAGGACGGTCCCGGCACGGGAGGGCCCCTGCCTGGCAGGCCCCGGCAGGGACTGTCCACTCCAATTCACTCTGCAAGGCGTGAAAGGAAAGTGCTTTGTCTTCACAGCCAGGGAGGGGAACAGGCGGCCCAAGCGAAGACACAGCTCGCTACAAAGGAGAACGAGGCCTCGCGTCTGGTGTGGCTGGGGCCCATCTTCATTAACCACTTCAGTTGCCTTAAAGCAACACCGAAAACAGAATTTGTTCAGTAATATGTTGAAATCCCTCAAAAAAAAAACCCCTCAAAATTCAAGTCACTATACAGCTCGCAAGGATGCTCACGTCTCACAACTGCACTCAACAGAAGCCAACAACTCAAGCCGGGCGTGTGCCCACTACTGAAGACCCGCTGTCCGGGAAGCCATCTCATTCTCTGGAGAGAGCCCCAAGCTGCAGGAAGGGCAGGTCTGGCATGTACTGGAGCGGGGAGGGGGGTGCGGGGAGCGAACCTGAGGGCGAGACGGCCACCTGCTGGACGCTGTCCTCAAACTTCTGCCAGCGCAGCCCGGCGCCCGGCAGCGCGCTGCAGAACAGGCCGCCTTTGTAGTCCAGGCACCAGACGTACTTCTCGGAGACTGCGAGGCTGAGGATGCCATAGCCGGGGCCCGAGTAGCCCATCCAGCTTTCTGCGAACTGCAAGCACAGCGCTGTGAGCTCTGCAGGGCGGGTACCGCTGCCCTGGTCAGCACCCAGAGCCACGAGAGGGGCTCCACAGAGGCCTCTGTCCCCAGACCGTGCTCTCACAGAAGCCTTCTGAGGGGAGCTGCTGCCCCTACAGAGACCCCAGAGTGTCCCTGGGCAGCCCTCCAACACCCCGACACCTTTCCCAGCCCGGTGCTTATGTGACGAGGCCCGGCTTTGTCCTGCAGGCAGGCGCTCGGCAGCCCAGCCCCTGGGCTGAGCACAGGCGTGGGAGGCAGCCCTGGTGTGCCCAAGCACCGGCAGGTGGCACAGCCCTGCCCGGCCCAACTAGGCCGCACTCAAGAATCAAAGCTGAGTGAAGCCTCTGTAGGCTAAGAGCCTCTAAGAGTGTGTGTGCGGGCCCCCCCACACTGGTAGGAGCCGCTTCAAAGACAAGCACTCCCACGCCCGCAGCCTGGCCCTGCTCACCACGACAAAGCTTAACGGCTCCCCCAGCCCCCAAATCCCCTGGCTTTCTGGTTACCCAGTGAGCCTGAAGGCAGGGGGCGTCCTCAAAGTACCAGGTTTCCCCTCCCTTGGGAGGGCTTCATGCCAGCTGCCCCACCAGCTCACCTTCATGGGGCAGCCCCAGCACCAGGCAGTGCCAGCCAGAACCCCGAAAGCATGAACACAGGAGAGGCAGCGAGAGGCCTGACTCTGGCTGAGCAGAGCACTGGGCAGTGCCGTCTGCCTGAGGCAGGGCAGGGGCAGGCATGGCCCTCTGCTGGCTCCGGGACCCAGCCAGCTGCTGTGTCCCAAGCGTGACCACCCTCCTGCCCTGCCAGAAGGGCCGACAGTGGAACCTGCTTCAGGGTCTGCCTTGCTTTTGAGAGATAAATAAGTTGAACTTGTGAAGGGCTTGGCAGGGTGGCTGGCGAGAGTGGACCCCAGTGGCAGTGACCAGCCCAGCAGCCGTGGGCCTGGGGGCACGCACACATGGCTGAGTCCACGCTCACAACCGAACTCACAGCCCCTCCTGGGAAACACACACAGCATGTCCAGAGCCAGGTCCAGCCAGTAATTAGAAATCAAGGAAAATAAGCACTTCTGAAAAGTGAGTTTTTCTATAAAATGATCAAAATGGCCTCCCTGGTGGCGCAGGGGTCTGTCTCAGCGCTGTCAAGCTATCGGCGGCCACTGCGGCCTGAGTGCGACCCCCGGCCAGAGAGGTGACCCACAGGGTGCGGCAGACCTCTCCCGTCTCTCCGCTGCTCCCCTCAGCAGTGGGTTTCAGTGGATCCGCCTGTTCTGCTCCCCACTCTGTCTCTGGTGAACGCTCTCACCCCCAAACCTCTGGCCTGTACCCCAGCTCTTGTATGCACAAATAAATCTTATAAAAAAATAAAATAAAATGGACCAAGAACAGTTGAAAAGTGCCTCAGTTACGTGAACCGGGCAGACTGACAGAATCTGGACTCCAGAGTCTGGCTCTGCACGGCCTGGGAGCCTGGGGCGCCATCTGGAGGAGGCCCCGTTCCTGCGCTGGCTCTCCCTCCTCTCACCTGCCTGGACGCGCTGACGGCAGGTGCCTGTGCTGAGGGGGCCTGGTGGGCACACAGAGCCAGCAAGGGGCTGCTCTGGACGGTGGTCACCAAGCTGGACGACAGGTCACAGTGCTTCCTGCCACTAAAGTCCCCACAAAGGGAGCGCCCCAAAACCAGGACTTCAAAACATTTGTCCACAGGCTTTTGCAGCAGGAGCGTACTTCCCTTCCGAGAAGGGAAACGACTGATTTGCACACGATTCCAAGCAGCCACCTACCTGGCCTGGCTCGAGCTGCCCCGTGTCTCTGGGATTGCGCTGGCTCAGGTCCTGCAGGGAGCGGCCCCGGCCCAGCTCTGCCACGCTCGTCTCTGAGGACGAAGAAGGAAGCCCATGGGCGTAAATGTCCTCCTCGTCGCTCGATGTCCACGCGGGGTCCAGTGAAGGCTGCTCCAGGCGAGGCTTCTGGGTGCTGGCCGGCAAGGCAGAGTCTGGGGGAGCCGGCAGTCCTCCCGCCTTCCCCAGGTCACATTTAAAGGCGGCCACGGCCTCCTGGCCTGTGCCCCAGTCAGGGCCAGGGGCCCCCACCTGGGTCAGGAAGTCCCGCTTTCCGCTGAGCTCCTCCGCACTCCCTGGGTCAGCTCCAGCCTCCAGCAGCCACAGCTCAGCACTGGGCGGCAGGCAGAGGCTGGCGGACCCCGGGATGTCCTGGGGTGCGTCCAGGAGGGGGGCTTCTGAAAAAGCGCCTTGGGCATCGTCAGGGTCCCCGCACCCTGTCTCCTGGGGCTCTGTCGAGCTGCCCCGCTCTTGGCAAGGCGACTGTCGGCCACTCGACCTGTGGTCCCCGGAACTCGGCTCCTCTTCAAGGTCTGTGACTTCAGAACCGCCCTGACCCTCGCTCGGGGGCAAGGCTGGATTCAGCACCCCGGGCAGCCCCTCCTTGCCTGCGGGGCCGCATCGTGGAGCTTCGGTCCCACCGCCACTGTCTTCGTGGGCTAAGTGCGGGGCGGGCTCAGACACCTCCGGGACGCTGAGGGCTTCAGGGCCACAGCCCTCCTGCGGGACACCGGCCTCACCACTGGGGCGGCGCTCACGGCCGGGAGAGTCTGTGCCTGAGCCATCCACGATGCTGCTCAGACTGGAGGTCAGGGACAGCAGGTCTGCGCTCAGGGGCTGGGGGCTGTCTCCAGGAAACTCGCAGCAGGGAGTCGACTCGAGGGAACTGTCGCAGGCGCTCCTGCTCCCACCTTCTGCTTTCAAAGGAAAATGACGACAATGAGGGACGTCACTCCAAAAACAGTACCATGGACTTACGGGGGACAACATGAAGCTAATTAGAAAATAAAACTTTTGTTCAAGAAGGAATACATTTTAGGGGCCTCCCTGGTGGCGCAAGGGTTAAGACTCAACCTATGAAGCTGTCCGCAGCCTCTGCAGCACGAGTTCCATCCCCAGCCAGGGAGCTACCCACATGGCGCAGCAGACCTCTCCCGTCTCCCCGCTGCTCCCCTCAGCAGTGTACTTCGGTCAGTCTGCCTGTTCTGCTCCCCACTCTGTCTCTGGTGAATCTTCTCACCCTCCCACATCTCTGGCCTGTACCCCAGCTCTTGTATGCATAAATAAATAAACCTTTAAAAAAAAGAAATACATTTTATTTTTTTTTTTGTGGGACCCTCGCCAGTAGCTGGGGATCGAACTGGCACTGCAGAGGCTGCGGGCAGCCTCGCAACCCAGCGCTCAACCGCTGCGCCACCAGGGGAGGCCCAAGAAATACATTTTAAACAAAAGCTATTTAATCGGTGAACACACCCTTTTAGCACAACGGCCCCATGGCAGGGAGGCACAATGGGGTGCTGAGGGGCCCGAGCTGCATGAGGTGCCAGGGGCAAACGGGCCGGGGCCAAACCTGTGAGGGGCCCAACAGGATGGGTGGTCAGATGGCACGTCCCTCAGCAGTGCAGTGACCCGTGGCGAGAGGCCTGACGGGCAGCAAGGAGTAAAAACTCTACAAAACTCAGTGCTAAGCCACATCTGCTCACATCCCCCATGGAGGTGGACGACTGGCCAGACACACTTCCGTGGGACTCCCGTGTCCCATGAGGTCACTCACAAGTCAGTAAAAAAAGCACATGGCTGTCCCTGTAAGACACTCAAGTATAGGAAGGCCCTGCATGTCTCCCACTGACAGGGATGCCCAAGAGTCACCATCTTCATTTAAACACCAGAAAGGACCAAGCCAGACCCAAGGGCCGGAGGACACAGGAGGACGCCAGCTTTTCATCTGAGTGGCATGGGGGTGGGGCGCAGGCCCGCGCAGCTGCCTCATGGGGGCGCTCCTGAAGGCCGCAGGTGCCCGGAAGTGCACCTGCCTGGTCTCACGCGGCGCTCCGGGGCTGGCGGGCTGCCGGGAGGGGCGTGCCCTGAGACATACCTGGCTTCCTCCGCCTCCTCCTCTTCTTCACCTTGAGAGGCTTGACCACGAGCTCCTGGTCGAAGTCCTCCGAGCTGATGGCGCGGAGCCTCTGCGGGGCAGGCTGGCTGTCCTGTGGTGGCTCAGGGGCGGCCTGCAGCCTGGAGCCACTGTCAGGGGAACTGAGCGAGCTGCTCCTGCTCCTGGGCTCGCTGGCCACGGAGCTGGCCACAGAGGAGCCTCTAAGCCGCGTCTCGGCTGCGGGGGCACACGGGGGCCTCTCCTGGCGCTGCACATGGCCCGACTCTGCACACCCGGATGCCTCCAGCCCGTCGCGCACTGTGGGAGCGGAGCTGGGTTAGAGCTGGTTAACCAAGACTGTGTCCAGGCTGACCCCCAAAACATAGGAATCACAGTAAGGGGAACCCCCACTGCCATCTCTTCAAGTGACTCAATACAGGATCGGTGCCAAGCCGGCACCTGTCACTCGAACTGACGGGTAATTTAGAAGCAGATGCAGGTCCGCGAACAGGGCTCCGGGACACGCACCCAGCCTGGGCCTGGGACAGGCTTTGCTGTAAGCCCCGCTCACAAGCGCCAGAGCCAGAGCTCATCTGACACACGACAACACGCTTGAAAATACATGCTCCTGGGATCAAGCGCCTTGAAATTCAAGGAGGGAAAGGAGACCTTCCACTGTGACAAGCTCAAGGCAGGAAGGAGACTGAGGAGCCAGTGCTGACACAAGTGGGGGGCTAGGCTCTGGGTCACGGCCCCCCTGAGCTCAGCCCAGTGACTGAGAGCTGCACATACACACACACACACACACACACACCCCCCCCACCGCCTGGGCCTGGGGTTCAGCATGAAGCCACAGACCCATGCGAGCAGCCTATCGTCAGCTGTGAGCCTCTGCGCGCACCAGAGGGGGCTGGGGGCGGGGATCGGGCTGCCTGCACGAGCAGGACCCTGGGTGGGGCATGCTGCGAGCTCCGAGCACGCGGGACGCCCAGGGCAGGCAAGGGACTTGTCCAAGAGGACACAAGGATGGATCTTGGGCTCGAGGGCCGCAGCCACGTGTTGCCAGTTAGACTAAAGTTAATTACAGCCAAACAAAACATGAGGCCCAGGCCTCGGCCATGGTGGCTATGGAGCAGGTGGGCAGATGTGGGTTCTGAGGGATGTGTGGCTCCCACAGCCACTGAGCATCCCCCCACCCCGCCCAGCCTCTGGAGCCACGCGCGGGGCTGGAGCTTATTTGTGCCCACGAAGTCACAGCTTTGGGACGACGTGTGTCCCAATCTGCCCACTGTGATGTAAGCGGTTCACCCCCTTTCCTTCCATCTCTCAAGAGACTGAACGCTTAGGGCCGACACAGTGCGTATTATATTCGCATCTTTTCGAGAGCTAAGTGTCTGACTGCTGTGGGTCCCCACGCGTCAGTTGGGGTTGCACACCCTCCGTGCTCACGGCAGGCCCCCACCTCTTTCCCTGCTCAGCTGGACATGGAGGCTTGCAGCCTGCCCACTCACTCCTGCCCAGGATCCCTGCTCCTTCTCTGAAGCGAGAGTAAAATAACAGTGAAGACACCCCAGTGGTCGAGACCCAGGATACCATGTGTTGCTATGGCTACCTGACTCAGGTGGCCACAAATGCCAGCTGAGGCGGACTCTGTGTGGTAATCTGGCTGCGTCACACATACCCGTTCTTTGGCTTTCTAACTTGCAAAGCGAGGACATCGTCCCGTCCATCAACACACTCACTGAGGGGCCTACGCACCAGGCGCTGTGACAGAGATGAGCCCCGAGATCCTGGTGCCCGGAAAGCACAATCTTTGTGAGAGTGAGGTGCATAGTCAAGGGGGCGGCCCTGGAGTTGGAGCGGCAAAGGGAAGGGACCCAGGAGCTCAGTGAAGGGAGCTTCACTGGGAGGAGAGGCTGAGCTGAGGTGCCCAGAAGTCTGGAGACCCAGGGACAGCTGCTTGGCCCCGGGTGGCACGTGGCCGCAGCACAGCAAGCCGGGGGCGGGGGGTGGGGGTGGGGCGTGTCACTCCAAGCTGGGGCGGATGACCTGCCCATGCGCATCAGCGTGCTACCCTGGGCTTGTCGCTGGGCCTCCAGGCCTCAGCCTCCTGCCCACAGCTGCAGCCTCAGGCGGGCTGCTCAGAGGCTTCTAAAAGCATGTGTGTCAGGAGCTCAGAGGGCCAGCAACAGGGAGACCGAGAGCCACGGTGAGGGGTACGCTGCTGTGATCCCCTCAGGACCCAGCCTGCAGTGAGCCTAAGCATATGTGCCAAGAATACCTGCCTGAGAACCTGGGCCAGTAGGAATCACTAGAGTCAAAAGCACGACAGGGAATAATCAACCCTTAGAAGATGAGTTGTGTTAGGTAACACCTGTCTCAGAGGACAGACTGAATGTTCTAAATCTTCCACAAATCCATGTCTTTTGGTGTGTAAACCCAACACCGTCCTGGAAGCAGAGGAGGCCATGGCTGTGGGGCTCGCCCACCTCGTTACCCAGCCCCCCACCTTCTACCACAGGGGCGGCCGTCTGACGTGCGCCCCGAAGAGGGGACCTTCATGAAAAGCATCAGCGGTGTGTTAAGAGTCACAGGCGGCCCTTCCAACCCTCCCTTGTTTAGATGAAGCTGTAGCCTGGTAAGCAGCAAAATGACATCAGTTCTGTGAATTATGGACACGATACCATGCACACAGCACATTTCGTGACAGATACCAACCTATTGATGCCAGTCCTTCAGGCCTGCTTGAAATTCTTATAATATTTCTATCTCCCTTTAAGAGAAAAATTTCATTTTCTGTGCAGGAAACAGACACGATGTCACCCGATCCTTCCAAACCAGCGATCGTGGCCTGTCGGAAACACACACACATCACCACACCGGGCAGTGGCACAATCTGGAGCGTGCACGGGCCGGAACCCAACAAGTGACAGCCACACATGGTCACGCCCACGCTCTGTGTTAACAGGATGCCCCCGGGGGCCCGCCCCTGTCAGGTCAGGGCTGACAGAGTAGCCAAGGGAGCAAGGCATGGCCAGCTCCGTGCCCGCACGCAAACGACCCCCCCCGCCCCTCCCCCCCGCTTAGCCACCCCGATGTGCTCCGCCCTGCTCCCTACCCGGGGCACTGGAGCCCTGGTCCTAGCAGGGGCTGTTGGCCTTGCACAGGCCTCGCTCCAGGCGCCCCGCCAGTCCGGACAGCCCAGCTTGCTGCCCCACACCCCCAGGCTTCCGCTCCAGTTCCTCCGTCTCCCTTGGTAATGGGGAGAGCCCCGATGAGGGCGAGATGCTGCCTCCCTGGGAAGCAGGGATGAGCCTGCCCTCCGCGGGGAGGTCCAGGATGCCCCTAGTGCCACTCCACACCCGCAGGGTACCCCAGGCTGAGAGGAGCAGAACTCTGCTGGTGCCCATGTGGAGACTAGGGTGCACTGGGGCTCAGTTTTGGATGAACAAGCGACTGAAGAACCTGCGCCCTGAACACACAACAGAAGCACCCGTCTCAGAGGCGGGCAAGGGCAGTGGGTTCCTGAGTGGCCTGCTGGGCAGCTCGCAGTGTGGTGTGGGCCTGCAGGCCCCTATCTCACAGTCACACGCTCAGGCCGCCGGCAACACCGCGTCTGCTGGGGAGGCGGGCCGCCCCCACGTCTTCCCTGAGGATGGAGGGAGCACACCCGCTGGCAAAGTGCACTCGGGAGGCACCGATGCACAACGCGGGATCCTGACCCTGCCAACAGGCAAGGGTGTCCACACGAGGAGCACCCAGGGCGGCCAGCTTGACGGAACAGGGGAGGAGCATGGAGGGGTCACAAGACCATCTTAAGAAACACACTCAGGGTTTAAAGGGCACCTGGGCAATGCCCCAACACAGGTCACCCCCTGCCCATGCTCCCAGAAGGAAGCCGCGCAGCCCATTATCTCCCAGGACGAAGGCTCGAGCGAGACTGCGCTCCGGGTTAGGTTTCTCTCCAGCTCGGCCGCAGGGCCGGCTGACAACAGTCAGGCGGCGTCATGAGGAGTGGGCGAGCTTTGCTTCTGCTGACATGCGGCCGGGAGGGCGGGAGCTACTGCCACCGGAGCAAACGCTTGCTCGTAAGGCAAGGAGAAACCAACACTAAAGTTTGGGGTTTTGTTTGCTTTTTTGGTTCCTAAACCCACCTCTAGCGGTGACCTGTCACCACTGACTGACACAGAAATGTCCCCACTGCAACGCGCGGGGCTGGCGCTGCCCCAGAGCCGCGAGCGGGAAAAAACATGGCTCCTGGTGAGAGGAGACAGGAGAAGGCCTCTCCCACCAGACGGCTGGCGTGGCTGTGGGCAGGGCCTTCTCTGCTCCCTGTCTCTGCCCCGTGATTCCCGACACGCTTAGAGCAGTCTGTGGTCAGGGAAAACATGGTCCAAGTGAAGAACAAGTCTAATTCTGTGCTAAAATTAAAAACAACTTCTGGCAGGGACAGGACAGTGAATGTCAAATTGGACCTTCTTTTGAGTTTCCTCGCTGGCCCAAAGAAAGCACTAGAATTGCCAGTCTCCTTCCTTGGTTTTGGAAGCCCCTGGGTGAGCCTTCTCCAGCCGAGGCCAAGGTGGGGGCCGCTCCACTTACCTGGTTGACCGTGTCTAGCAGGTAGATACTGTATTCATTCCAGCTCAATACCCAGCCTTCTTGAAAGAAGCAGGAGACAAGCCCCAGGTGCTTTTCCGGCAAGCTGCAGCTGCCCCCGTCGGAGGATTCCAGACGTGGGTACAGTTCAAAAGGCGTGACTCCTCCCGCAAAGACGTCCTTTAAGATGAACGTGGCCTGGACGGTGCCGTGGATGTCAGCCTTCCACAGTCGGAGCCCAGGCCGTGAGGCGTACAAGGTCAGGTCGCTCTGCTTACAGAGTCCTGGTATGAAACAAGCCCCAAATTTTCCAGTGCTGAAATCAGGAGAAAAAAATAAGAAAGAGAAAAGAAAACAGACATGGATTGACGAAGGGACAGAGCTGTCAACTCCTGATAGTAACTTCAACAAGGTTTTGGCTAAGCCTAAGCGAGACAGATTTTTTTCAGCTCCTCTTCTACGGCCGGTCTGTTGTGAAATGAACACACGAGCCCCCTCTGCCCACAGAGGGCAGGGCTGGCGCCTCACCCCCAGCTCGACCCTTAGGCAGCCCTGCCAGGCAGATATCACGACTCTCCATAGCGGCGCCTGAGCCAGAAGGTGGCAAATCCAGGGGTTGCCGCGCTGCCCTGCTCTGAGGCGCGGCTCCTCCCAGAGTCTGACTGCTCGCCTGCCCCAGCCCAGGAGGGAGCTTTACGTCCAGAATCGAGACAGACTTGTTCTGACCAGCCAGAGGGCCTCTCTCCCCTCGGTCCCGGGCCTGGCATCTTTTTCTACTTAAATGATGCAGCGAACACAAATAAAAGAATGCATGTAACACAGACACCTTACACGTCCGAGTTACGAGGTCTAGTACTGACGTGCCCCCGGGGGCCCACCCTCACTGAGGACGTGCATCCGTGACATCACTGCGGCCGCTCATCTTCCCGAGATCCCCTGCCCCGTCCCCAGGGACTGCGGACTCACAGTGGTTGTTTATCCTGGGCCCCTGCTGCTGCATCAGCCCCGAGCTGTGTGTCCCCAAAGACTCTACGACTCAGCCCCGCGGTCTCTCATCTCCACGTGAGAACAGTAAGATGCTACTCGTACACCCGTGCAACTTGTTTTTAATTACACGTTACGGTGAGACTTCTGGCTGACAACGGCTGTACCCTCCTTCCCACCGCGGTGGGGTTGCTACCCACACTCTCAGTCCTGTCGGCAGGTGTCTGAGCCGCTGGGACCCTGACTCTGGCAGAGACCACAGGTGGCAGCTGCACGTGCTCTCCGAGGACCCAGGAGCCGAGGGTGCAGGGGCATTTCGGGAGGGGAAGTTGGGTGTTGGTAAGAACACACATGGTGTGGAAGACGACCTAAGGTTTCTGAAGGCGAATCCACCCATCTAGATTCCCAGGAGCCATCCTGGCCGACCCACAGCCTCCCAGAGCGCCAATCCCAGGGGTTCAGGCCCACCATGTCTGCGGGCCGCTGACCCCCACTGCAGGGAGTGCCTGGGCTGCCTTGTGTCCGGCCGCAGAAGGCCGGATGAGGTCGTGGACACAGGCACACACCATGCTCGTCATGTGCCCCCACGAGTGCTTGGCGCCCACGCCAGGCTGAGGTGCACTGGCTGGAGCGGTGCCCCGGCCCAGGAGGCTGCCTGGGCACCCTGGGCACGGCGGTCACAGAGACTGGGTGCCCCTCCACACTTCAGGGCCTCATTCCCAGGGCCCCGCAGTAAGGAAATCCCGATGAGCAGGGCCCAGGAGGGATGGGGCGTCCAATTCCACGCCAAGAGTAAGAGCGTTGGATGAAGACCTGACTTCTAGACATCTCCTTCCCTGACAACAATCTCAAGAGCCTCCTCCCCGTGTGGACCGGCTCATCTCAGGTACGTGAGTGTCGTCTCAACAAACGCCCAGGGAGCGCCTACCTTGGGCGCAGCAGGTGCACATCCACGTGTGCTGGGTGCCCCCGACCCCTGGCTGCCCCCAGGCTGGGGGCAAGGGATGGGACGTTCTGGGGAAAGGACATGCTGAGCAGGGCCCAGGGGCTGGCACTGAGGGCGTGGGGAGAGGTGGTTTGGCTGAGGTTCTGATGCAGAGACTGTCAGATACCCCGGACCAAGGACACAGCACGTCAGGGGGCGGGGCCTCTGAGGTCTTCTGGGAGTTTGTGTTTGGGCCAATCTGAGGAGGTTCCCGGATGTGATCACTGGGCCTGCACCTGGACCCACGTTCTCCCCGGGGGCACCCTCTGGCCCCATTTCAGGCCAGCCCATCCTCTGTGGTTGCCCGCGGGGGCCTCCTTGTGCTCCGCTGGCCTACACCCCCTTGGACTCTCAGAGCAATGTGCCCTTGAGGCGCGGCCAAGTTCTGTGCTCCCGTCCACTGCCCCCTGCGGTGCCCCCATACCCTGGCCCTGCTCACGAGGAGGGAGGTGCCAGAGCCCAGTTCCTGCTGTGGAACCCTACGCCCCCCTCCCAGAAACTCCAAGCCCAGCACCCTGCTGCGGCTTCCTCTTCCGGAAGGAGGGCCTCCCCTCCCTGGGTTACACGCATTCCCTTTGTGCAAACTGTGCGGGGGTGTGTGTGTGTGTGTGTCTGTCCAGGGCATGTCCTCTCCCCTCTCAGCAGGTAGCATCCCCGTGGACCCAACTGCTCAGGCCGCAAGCCCGACCCATCTTTCTCTCACACCCAGAGCCAGCATGCACACAGACCCGTCAGTTCTGCCTTCAAGGCCCTCCCCACCCTGGCCTGGTATGAGTCCTTCCACCTCTCTCCTGGGTCACCTCTGGTGCTCCCCGAGCCCCCAGACAGCAGCAAGGGGACGTTCCCTGTGAAAGCAAGCAGCCCCCGTCCCCATCACACAGGCCTCCCGGCCCCTCGGCTCCACACACCCCAGCCTTGGGGTTCTTCAACCCCCTCGGTCAGGCCCAGGGCTTCCCTCCAGAGGCCTCTCCTGGCTCTTCCCTTTAAGGGTCCATTCAGACCCCACCTGGGAGGAGCCTTCCCGGCCTGCTGTTTAGACAGATGAGATGCCCTATTGCTTGCTCCGTCCTCACTAGCTCCAGGCCCAATGATCACTACTGAACATTCTAGAACACGTCTACTCAGCAGTGTCTGCCCCAGGAATGTGGGCCCGAGACAGAGACCTGTTTCCTCGCTCACACAGCTGTGTCTCCAGGCAGAGCGGGCCTGGACATGGGCGGAGGCCACGCAGTTCTCTCAGCCTCGGGTGAGCAACGGCCATCCCTGGTGAACTCGGCTGCTGTCAGGGTGGCCACGACTCCTTCCTTATCTGATGACCTGATCTTGACCTCTACTGTGACCCTCCCCAGGCTCCAGACCTGCACAGGCCTCCTCACTGTGGTGCCCACTAGGGCCCTGAAGAGACACCCCAAACTCCATATACCCAGGACAGACCCAGGCCCAGTCTCCCCCCCCCCTTAGTGCAATGGCTTCACCACCCATCTGGCTGCTTAATCTAAGCAAACAGAAGTCTGTTTCTATGCCTTTCTCCCCCTGGCTCCCTATTTCCACGGGGAAATGTCCAGGGGGCATTCCAAGGGGACTATGTCCAGTCCTGTCCTTCCTCTCTCCAGATATGCCCGCCCACAACCGCTCGGCAAGGGGCCACTTCCACCCACGCCCTTGGATGTCTCTGGGCATCTCCATGCAGGGCCAGGGAGAATCTGAGCTTGGGGTCACTCCCAACTGACACCTCTAATGGCTTCGCAAGGACCACTTGAAAATTGGACCAGGCCTTCCTCCCCAAGCCCACTCCACGGAACACGTGAGCGCACAAACCCCTGCTGTGCCCTGACCATGCCCAGCTCTGGCCCAGTCTGGGCCTTCACTGCTCCGAGGCGGGAACGCGCTTCTCGGGCCTCCCCACACTCTCAGCTCAAGTATTACCTCCTCATGGAGGCCTTCCCTGCCCCCACACCCTCTCAGAGCTCCATTGCCTCCTCCCCAGCAGCCCCTGCAGCCCATGCCCTCCACCCCTGCTCACTGTCCCAAGGTGCTGCCCGTCCGCTGGCACTCGCCCATGCTTGCTGCCAGATGCACTGCTCCTGGGGTGGACACAGCGGCCCTCTAACCTCTGTCTACAGCACATGAGGGACAAGCCTTCAAGACACAGAAGGCATCAAGCCCGGCTAGCTCCTGCCTCCAGGATTGGCGGAATGTTCAACCATGGGAAAGGGATGCCTTGTTTGCTTCTGCACCCGGATCCGCCCTGGGCACAGGACCGCTGTCAATCAGCGCTGCTGAACCGGCGTCAGGGCTCCGGGAGGTCGCAGCCGATGAGGCGTGTACGCACGCATGCAGGCACGCAGGCACATGCACATACACGCACACATGCAGCAGGCGGGGTTTCAAAGGAGATGCAGGCCCATGACCCATGTGGAAAGTAACTCGTTTTAATCCACCCTCCTTCTGAAAGACAGGGTGACCGGGAACAGGGGGACACGAACAGCAGGGAGCCGGGAACACATCCCACAGAGCCACCACGTGGGATCCTGCTTCTCCCCAGGGACCCTGAAGGAGGCTGCTGCTCAGAAAAGGCCAAATTATCAACGTGATATAGGGGTGTTTGGTCTGGAGAAGCTGAAGAGCAGCAGCGGCTGCACTGCCCAGGCCACCAGGGCCGGCTTCCCCGACTTCACCCTCCTGGGCATCAGCACCAGCCAGCTGTGGGGTGCCCACATCACCACCCACCAACCCTGGTACCACCTCCTTCCCACCCTCCCCCGCTGCCATGGCAACCCTCGTGTTCACTGGGCCATGTGCCACCTGGCCGATTCCCTAAGGCCACGGTGCCAGCTGCCGCCTGCCACCAACATGCCGCCTGCTGGCGCCAGACCACCCTCCCCCCGCCCCAGCTGAGAGGACAGCCCTCCTGTCTCCGCCTGCAGGCAGGAGGCGGCGTCCTGGGCAGTCGGGGAACCTTAGGAGTGGAGCCACTGGCTCACATGTGGCCAACAGGAAACCCGGGAAGCTCCAAGCCCCTCGGGTGTGGCGGGGGGGCCTACCTCTTCCTCGGCTGCGTGCCCACCTGCTGCACACAGCGCTCCTCAGTGTAGAAGAGCAGGCTCCGCTGCAGGGTGGAGACCAGCAGCACCTTCTGGCTGTAGTCCAGCTGCACGATGGACGACGGCTCCTCCAGCACCAGGTGGGAGTTACAGATGCCCTGCGGAGAGACAGGCAACACTCAGGGCAGAGTGAAGCACCCCCACTGCCTCTGGATGCTGGCGTGCTCCCTCCATGTCTGTAGGTGAGCTCACCCCTCATGATGTTTGCTTGAGCCTTCTTCAGACTCACTGCCGCCCTCTGTGAGGAAACCATTGGGAAGCCCCTACCAGTGAGAAGAGCATGCTAATGTCTATTTCATGGCACATCAAGCTTAACAAGAAACATCTGGGGCCTCCCCGGTGGCGCAGTGGTTGAGCGCTGGGCTGCGAAGCTGCCCGCAGCCTCCGCAGCGCTGGTTCGATCCCCGGCTGCTCCCTGGCCACCGGGCGAGGGTCCCACATGGCGCGCAGACCTCTCCTGCCGCCCGCTGCTCCCCTCAGCAGTGTACTTCGGTCCTTCTGCCTGCTCTGCTCCCTGCTCTGGTGAATTCTCTCACCCTCCCGCGCTTCTGACTGTACCCAGTGCTTATATAAATAAATAAATCTTTGAAAAAGAAAAGAGAAAGAAAAAGGCAAAAAAAAAAAAAGAAAAAGAAAAAAAAGAAACATCTGGAAATTCCATACTTCTTTGAAAATGTTCTGTATGTGGGCCTCACTGGTGGCCCAGGGGTCAGTCTCAGGCTGTTATCACAATGGCCTGAGTGTAATCCCCAGCCAGGGAGCTACCCATATGGCGCAGCAGACCTCTCCTATCTCCCTGCTGCCCCCCTCAGCAGTGGCTTTCATTGGATCTGCCTTTTCTGCTCCCCACTCTGTCTCTGGGGAGTCCTCTCACCCCTGCACCTCTGGCCTACACCCTAGTTCTTCTACACCAAAAAAAAAGTTCTAATCAGTATTTTTAAGGTTGTTTCACCCTCTAAGATAGCACATGTGGGAAACGCAGCCCACGCAGACAGACACCCTCTATGTGCCTCTCTTTAAAAAGGTACAGTGTTGGGGGCCTCCCTGGTGGCGCAAGGGGTTAAGACGCAACCTATGAAGCTGGCCGCAGCCTCTGCAGCACGAGTTTGATCCCTGGCCAGGGAGCAACCCATATGGCGCAGCAGACCTCTCCTGTCTCCCCGCTGCTCCCCTCAGCAGTGTGCTTCAGTCAGTCTGCCTGTTCTGCTCCCCACACTGTCTCTGGGGAATCCTCTCAACCCCCACACTTCTGGCCTGTACCCCAGTTCTTGTATGCATAAATAAATTTAAAAATAAAGTAAAAAAAAAAGGTAAAGGGCTCCTGCAGCCCAACAGCTGAGGCAGCGCTGTGGGAGTCCTGGGGATGGGCACTCGCGAGTCCACGCGCCCTGACGGAGCCCACAGACGAGAGAGGAGGCCCGCGCTGCGCCTTCAGGCTGGCCAGCAGACGAGACCACCCAGGTGGGCTCAGCTTGCACACAGCAGGAAAGGGCCTTGTCTGAAACGGAGCTCTGCTCGGCGAGGGCTGGTGGCCGGGCCGCACGTCCTGTCCTTCCGGATGGACACAGCCCAGGAACTGTGGTGGGGGCGGCGCTGGGCTGGCCAGGAAGAGCCTCGCCCTGCCCCTACACCCTGCAGGGACCTGGGGGCGGCAGCAGCAGCAGCTACAGTGGTGGCGGCGGAACAGCGAGCGCTCCAGTGGCAACAAAGGCCAGTGCGGAAGCTTATCAGATGCTAGGAAAGTGCTTGAAGAAATGTGACAGATGCCACCTGCGATTATTCAGGGGCTGTGATCGAGGAACTAGAAATAAAACTAGGAATGTGGTTTCTCCAGGTAAAAGGGGGTCAACAGTAGTTCCACAAGTAACATCACCTGGTCCAGATCCAGAGAGGAGTAGACGATCTTTCCCTTGTCGTCTCCTGAGAATAACTTCATGCCGTTGGGGCTCCACGCCAGCGCGGTGATGCTGTTCTTGTGAATACCAGAGACGTCAAATCTCCGAAGCTACGGATAAACAACGAAAATAGAGGAAAAGGGTAAAATGGAGGGGGGCCACAGGGATGGGCGGCGTGTCACCCCTGGGCGCAGAGAAGGCCCCCCAGCCCCGCACGACCACAGGCAGCAGCCAGCGAGAGCGAGGTCTAAGCCCGCCCTGCACAGCCCTGTGCCCCGACTCCCCAGCACCCCCAGGCCCTGCAGCCCCATGCTCCAGTCCTGCGCTCCCCCACCCCCAGCCACACACAGCCCTGCGTCCCCCTCCCCCGGCCCCCTACAACGTGTTCTCCAGGCCAGGGAGGGGCTCTCCTTCCCAGGTCTTCTTGGGATTCACCACCAAGTTCAGAGATGCCCCACGGGTGCCCGCGCACCTGTTTGTTTCTCCCCGGCAAGGAAGACACCAGCTGGAAGACGGCGACCCTCCCGGAGGCAGTGCCCGCGGCCACCAGGTCATCGAAGCAGCTCAGCAGCTTCACCACCGTGATGGGTTCTGTCTTCCCCTGGGAGAGAAAAAGTTCCAACACAAATGATCCTGTTACCAACAAAAACCTCATTTCGGAAAGAAATCAAGTGCGAGCATACGGATTCCTTATCCAGGGAGTATTTATCAAGAGCTAGTTCCCCAAAACAGGAGTCCGGTGTCATGCGAGCTGCCCACTCCCAGCCTGCGCCCTTCTCTCAGGGTGGACAAGTCACTCAGCCCCACAGGCCGTGCTTCTCCGGTCTCCCCCATGCGCCACCTGCCCCTCTGTGCTCCAGGCCCCCCATGCTCCCCCCATCCACTGTGCTCCAGCCCCCCCATGCCATGTTCCAGGCCCCCCATGCTCCGCCTGCCACATGGGCTTGCTGCCAGGATCACGGGGACAGGACATCTGAGAATGTTTAAAAATTGGTTCCTACTGTGATTTGATTCTTAGGTCAGTAATTGTATTAAGTAACATTCTCTCCAGCTCAGCATGCCGCTCATCTAAATAGCACGTGTACCAGCACTGCACAGAGATAACTGGTTGCAACAACAACTGAGTGATCGTTTTTAATTTGAAACCATTCAGAAAACGTATAGCCATCTTGACCTACGGCCAGGTCTCCAGGGAGCCTCTCGGATCCCTGCTGCAGTGACTGACACAGCAGCCGACCTGTCCACGCCGGGAGCGTGCTCCACGCAGGGGTGTGGGTGCGCCAAGGCGACGGGCAGGAACGTCAAGGTGATGGGCAGGGAGCAGGGACACAGAGCTGGGAGCTGGGCTGCAGCCTGAGGCAGGCGTGGGAGAGCCGCCCCAGGATGTGGGGAGAGCCGCCCCAGGATGTGGGCGGCGGCGAGCAGAGCTCACTTTCCTCCGCGACGCCAGTCTCCGGGGTGTTCTCAGGGCTATAAATATGACTGTGCCAGATCGTGATATGGGGAAGGCTTCAGATGTCCATCTCCAGAAGGAAGAGAAGAGCCCTGGCTTGTTAGTGCAGTCAGCGGGGCCCCCAAACAGGAGAGGGGGGCCGCCGGAAGCCCAGCCAGCGGCCTGGCCTTGGGGAGGGGCTGGCTACAAGCAGCTTGGCCCGGTGCAGGGAGGCGGCAACCCCCAGGAAGCAAGCAGCCTCTGAGAAGACCTGGTCAGAGTGAGGATGGCAGCGAGGACAAGGGTGCAGCAGCTGCCTCCATGCAGGCCTCCCGCGCCGTCTCTTGGAACGGCCTGCAAGGAGGGGCTATTCTTCCAGTTCTGTTCCTACATACTTAGCACGTCCATATTTAACGAGGTCTTCAAACCTTAATACTCCAAATTCCGTGTTCTTTCCAAAACAAAAGTACTTTCTACTTCCCTTGTGATTTTCCACAACTGTGATCTGTGATCTATCTCTAACAGGCGCACAAAAAACTGACTTTGCCATTCAGGTTGCTGTGTGTGGGGCCTGGCCCCGGGGACACACCCCCTCATTAAGGGAGAACCTGCTAAAAACACCTAGGGCTTCTCCCAGGAGCCCCCTCCTAGCCTGCTGGGTGCCCTCGTTTGTGCCATGGGCCATGGTCCCAGCACGTCACTTTCCTTGGAAGCACAGCAGATGAGACACAAAACCCTTCTAGATCACCTGTAAGGTTCTAGGTCAAATTTTAAAACTGGCAGTTAAGGGTAACTCGTGGCTCCTTTCTGGGGAGCACTCAACTCTCATTTAGGTTTTCAGTCTGGTGGCCGAGCTTGTAAGATCAGGTGAACGGGCTTTCCGTCTCTCGGAAGGACAAGTGGTGCCCACTGCGTGCGCCCGAGCTTTATAAGAGCTCTAAGGGGAGCAAATGTCACTCAGAGGCTCCCAGGAATGCATTAAACCCTAGGGGTTAGCAGACGACTGGACAGAGTGAAAAGTCAGAGTAGGCACTTTGGGGAGGGGACTGACCTGGAACTGGCAGGAGGGGGCCTTCTGGGAAAAGCTGTGTCTTCACCTGGGTGTCTGCACAGGTGCGCACACAGATAAACGCATCACTTGAGATTTGCCCACTTCATGAAATTATACCTCAATTAAAAAGTAAAAAACAGAACAAAGCAAACCCCAGGACCTGGACAGCTGCTTAATTTACACTCTGAGGTATGTTCACAACCCAGACCGCCTCTCGGGGTGTGCCTGGTGCACTTGAGAGAGGGCACGCTGGGATCAGTGGTGCCCTCAGGCCCTTGATGTCTCCCCTACAATTGTGGATTTATCTACTGCTTCTTTCAGTTATGCCAGTGTTGGCTTCATGTATAATGAAGTTCTGGTGCTTAGTATGTACACATGGAGGAGAGCCACGCTTTCCTGGCCAACCTACCCTCTTACCACACATAACAGCTCTTGCTGGCTATTTCTTTGCTCAAACTTGGATACTGATGTCTCCACTCCAGCCTAGTGCTGATGGTGCTTATGTGGTATATCTCGGCCCACCCTTTTATTTTTCATCTATGTCACAATTGTACTAAATTTCTCTCTTTTTTTTAAAGATTTATTTTTTATTTATACAATATCTGGGGTACAGGCCAGAGGCATGGGAGGGTGAGAGGATTCACCAGAGACAGAGCAGGGAACAGAACAGGCAGACAGACCTGAAAGCACTGCTGGGGGGAGCAGTGGGCACGATAGGAGAGGTCGGCCGCACCATGTGGGAATCTCCCTGGCCAGGCCGGGAATCGAACCTGCTCTGCAGAGGCTATGGACAGCCTCACAGCGCTGTGCTCAACAACCCACTGCACCACCAGGGAGGCCCCGTACTGAATTTCTTATAACATGTAGTAAGTTCATGCCCTTTTCTTCTCCATGCCAGAATTTCTGTCTTTTAATCAGTACATACGGATCATGTACTCTTAATTTATTGGTGTGTTCTGATTCAGGGCTACCACTTTATTTTCTGTTTTGCCTTCTTCTGTTTCCCTTTTCTTGATTTCCTATGAGTTGCTTGAACACTTGAAAAATCCTACTGTGATTTATCTATGGCGGCTTTTACCACACCATCTCGTACAGTTTTTTTAGTGGTTGCTCTAGGGATTTATGACTTAGCTTTTCAAAATCTTTCTGGCATCAGTACTACACCTCTCCAAGCAGAACTCAGGACCCCACTATGATGGGGCCCCCATCTCCACTCTCACATCATCTCGCATATTCCAGTGTCTGTGCATAAGGAAGACTTAGTCAGTGTAGTAAGTGCTCGCTTTCCACTATGAAATACATTTTAAAGAACTTGAGGATGAAAGTGATGTGCTGCTTTTGCCCAGATGTTTACTACTACTCTTCCATTGCTCCTGATAGTCCTTATTTCCTTCTGGCATCATTTTCTTTTTGTTTCAAAAACTTAATGAAGCAATTATTTTAAACCAGGTCTGTTGGCACAAATCCCCCTTATTTTCCTTCATCTGATATTTTAAATGTCATCTAACAATACTTTATATATTAATATATGAAACAGATGAGTGCTATTTTTTCTGGGTAAAGAATTCTGAGTTGACGATTCTTTAGTGAGTACTTAAAAACGCAGTGGCATTTCCCCAGCCTGTGTGGCTCCTGAGGATACAACTGCAGTCACTCAAATTACTATTCCCTACAGGTACCAGGATGTTTTTCTGTGACTGTTCTTTTTTGCCTCCCAAAGATTTATTTATTTACATATACAAGAGCTTGGGTGCAGGCCAGAGGTGTGGGGAGGTGGGGTGTGTGTGAAGGGGTTCACCAGGGACAGAGTGGGGAGAACAGGTAGATCCACTGAAACACACTGCTGAGGGGAGCAGTGGGGAGACAGGAGAGGTCTGCAGTGCCCTGGGGGTCAGCTCCCTGGCCGGGGATCGAACTCGTGTTGCAGTGGCTGTGGATCACTTCATAGCACTGAGATTTAACTCCTTTGGCCACCAGGGAGACCCCTCTTTGGCCACTCTTAAGATTTTTCTTTGTTTTTAGTTTGTAGCAGTTACATTACGACATGTCTCGCAGGATCTCTGGTCTACCTTGCTGGATTCATATTCTTCACTGCAGAGTATGAAGTGTTTGAGAGATTTCATGTTAATTCATAACTAGTTTTACATAATGTTCTTAAACGTTTGGAGGAATTTATCAGTCAAACCCATCAGCTATTAAAGAAAATAGCACTTACATACATAAATGATTAATGTAAAGTCGAGTCAAACTGCCCAAGTTTTAAAAGTAGGCAGCGCCATTCACCAATGGCCTGACTGTGGCAGATCATGTAAGTTTTCAGGGCTTCAGTTGTCTCCCGGCAGAATGGGGTTGGTATTAACACCGACCTCAGATGTTTACAGGAATGAGTTGATACACACAAAGATTTAGAATAACGCTTGCACAGCTGACCTCTCCTAGGAGTCTCGCCTACTGCAACCTCAGCAGTGCATTTCAGTAGATCTGATCGCCTGTTCTGCTCCCCATTCTGTCTCTTGTGAATCACCCCCACCCCTCTGGTTTGCACCCCAGTTATAAACCTTACAAAAAAAATAGAATAATGCCTGGCACAGGATAAAAGCTGTGTATACGTTAACCACATCAGCTATTTAAAACAGAGTACAAAGGCTAAAGAAAAACTTCTAGCATTAGAACAACAACTGGAATATAGATTAAAATGCATGTATTAACAAGCGTTTCTCTTAAGAGCTTTGTCTAGGTCTGTAAGGGAGCACCAATCACAGAGCCCCGAGCTGTGAGGGAGGAGCCACAAGCCCTCGAGGCTGACTAAATAGGTGGGCACGATGGTGGTGCCACCACCCCCTGACAGGGGCTGAGGCAGTGGCCCAGAGCAGGGGTCGCTGCGCTCCCCATGGCCATGGAACGATATCGTGTAAGAGGCACATGTCTTGGAAACCAGCCAACATGACATCAATTCTTTTTTCATAAAAGTTTCCACACCACAGTGAGAGAGTATTAAAGGCAGCGAGTCAAGGTACCCTGCGAAACACAGCAGTTAGGAGAAAATGCCTACTTCCAAAGTTTTCTACTCTATGTTAGATGCTAAACTAGTCTCTTTAAAAAGAATGTGGGATTTCTGGAGACGGAAAAAAGGCTTAAAGCTCAAGCAGTGTTAGCTACAGCCACCTCAGCCAGCTCACCTCGAAGTTGTACTTCCTCATCTGGCTGAGGTGCCGGCAGTACAGGTAGAGCATGCCGATGCTGCTGCCCACGGCGATGTAGTCCCCGCTGGTGTCGAGAGCCGTGAGGTAGACCACAAGGGAGCGGAAGCCCTTCTGGATCTTGGTGGGGATGGCGTTGAGGAGATAGTACAGAGGGCAGAACTCTCTGAAGGTGACAGGCTCCGCCACCGACGCCATGGCCAGGTCTCCAGAGGGTGTTCAGGCAAGAGGAGCTGTGTTGATCCGGCATCTGGGGACCTGGGGGCTAAAGAACCAGGCGTTAAGGCTCGTTCAGTGTCTGGTCACGTCGAAGAGAAGTCTAGTTTGACAGTGGCACAGGGAACGTCCCGGGAGTCAAATTCCGAGCGAGAGCTTACGCGTGAACACGAGCCAGAGCCCTGGGGCACTTTGTCACTGCGGCCCGTCCTCGCACGCCGCCTGGTCTCACCGAGCAGTGGAGGACCTGCAGTGCAGCCAAGCCCACTGCGAGGAGCCAGCGGCCTGGGCCCAGGGCGACACCAAGGGCGTGCACCGTGTCTCACAGGCTCCACAGGGCACATGGGGAACGCGCCACTCCCGAGAGCACGGAGTGTGGAGGAGAACAGTGAGGACCCGGCCCTGCAAGGGGGAGCCCCTCCCAGACCCAGACTGGTGCCCCCTGAGGGGAGAAGCGGAGCTGCCGGCAACCTGGCCTCCTCGCCCTCACCCGGCCACGCACAGGGCGAAGGGCAAGGAGTCCATCGTTCACCTCCTGCCCGTCCTCCCCCACACTCAGGTGAAGGAACTGAGCCCCGAGGCTCCCCAGGCGCCGGAGCCCACTGGGCCGGACCTGAACCTGCATCTCCCCGCGGCGTCCCGGCCTCCCCAGGTGCACAGTGGAGGGCAGCAGCTGCTCTGGACACCCTGGGCCGGGGTAGGCCCGGAGGGTATCGCAGCCCTACAGGTTCCACGGACACTTCCAGGCGTACCGAGTGGAAAGGTCCTGGGATGCTGGGGTGGGGTCCCCCGCCAACTGCGGGCTCTGTTTTTGAGGGGCCAGCCTGGCTTCCCACTCCTCCCGCCGGGCGTGGCGCCGGCGGTCCCCTCTGCCTGGGGCACTGTCTTTCCACAATTCCAAACGCTCACTGTAAGCAAATGTAGACGCAGAACAGCCCAAGGACTCAAGCGCCAGCCGCACGCGCTACAGGCACAGAGGGCCGGAGACACGCGTGTGGGCGCGTTGGTCACTGAATCGCAGGCACTGCCAGCTCCGTGACCACCCCCAGGGGATGACCGTTTTATCCTTTGCCCTCGCCACATGCGTGGCCGAGCCTGGTTCACTCCGGCTGCAGCCTCCCCGGGCAGCGAGACGGGCCGAGCACGTCACAGACGTCAGCGAGGACTGTTTCCGCCTGACCCTTTAATTAGTGGTGGAATTATGACATTCGGAGTTCAAACGTCCACCCACATGACTGACGCTTTTATGGGCAGCTCCACGCCCAGGCAGGAGGGCGCCGTGCAGGCTGGGCCCAGCGCTGGGCCCGCCACGCCGACCTGCTCTTCCCTCAGCCTGCACACTCACCTGAGTGGCTTTGGCGGTTTTAAGCAGCCCCTGGAAGCGCCGCCACACGATGGTAGTACTGCCCGCTCCAGGGGGTCGGACACGGTCACGACTGCGCAGGTGGCGTCACCATCAAATTTTGAGTAAAAATCGTTTCAGCTGAAATCCTAGCGTCCCCCCTGCCAGCCCCAGACCCTAAACTCCGCACTCTCCCAGGCTGTGCCTGAGACAACGTCCTCCACGGCGCTGGCCCGTGCAGCCCCCGCCTCTGTAGCCCAGACACAGCAGACAGAATGACTTCCTGGACACGGAAGACCTCGGGCCGCCCAGGGCACGGACGAGAACGCGCAGAGAAAACCCACAGGCCAGGACAGACACCCGCTCACTGTGGATCTGATACGGGAATTGTGTCCAACGCATCTCTGAGTGGGCAAAGGGCTGAACAGACACCGCTACAAAGAGATACAGTCGGTACGGGAGAAACCGCTCACCTTCACCAACCATCACAAGTGAAAACCAGACTGGTGAGGGGCCATCACGCTCACCAGGATGTGCCACCAGACCTGCAGGTCCGGGTGCCCGCGGACGGGACAAAGCGCCACAGCCTTCTGGCAAAACCCGGCAGTTCCTCAAAAGGCGGACAGTGTGCACGTGACCAGCAACCCCACTCCTAGGAGAACCAGTATCTGTGTCTGCACAAAAGCCTGTGCACAAATGTCCATACCACTACTCAGAACAGCCCGAAGTGAACAGATGTCAGAGAGGACCGGCTGGCTCTGAAAAGAACAGAAGATGGTGAATCCATACAATGGGCTCGTTCTCGGCAGAACGAGGAGATGAAGCGCTGAGAGGAGGCGCAGCAGCGTGACGTGGCAAGACAGCATCCAGGGCACACCCACCCTCCAAACCCTCCAGGAAGTGGCGGGCAGTATGTCAGTTGCACAAGCAGGTTTTTTTTAAATTTTGCTTTCCTAATTTTTCTTCTTTTTGTCTCTTTTTTCTTTTTTGGTCTTACGGTCTCCTTTTAAAGTCTGGTTATGACAGCTGCTATCCTCTCGGGAGTGAAAATCTCATTCTGAACAGGAGGGTGGGGAAGTGGGCTCTGTGGCAGATGACCTTCCGCCACTTCCCTGACCCTGAGGCCCGGAGGGTGCTCTCCGTCCACACAGCCTCACTGCAGCTTTTCACCAGCCCCGGGACATGCCGCCAAGGAGCCTGTGTTTGCAAAGTCCACCTCCTTCCAAAAAAGCAGCCCTCCACCAGGAGCCCTCGCCTGCCCTCAGCCACGCCGGTCCCCTCTGACTGAGATGCCATGAGGCAGGATCACAGCCACGCCGGGCTGGCTTCCCATCACCGTCCATGAGCTCTTTCCAGTGTCTGCCTGGAAATAGCTGCCACCCACAGAAGCTATTTCCCAGGCCCTCCCTCAGGGCTATCCTCCTGCCTCCTCCCCCAGGATGGCCTCCCAGTCAGCCCCCAAAGGGCAACTAGGGCCGCCCCTGCACCCACACCTGCTGGTGCCTCACGGGAAGCTGTCCCAGGGCAGGGCGGCATCTAATCCCCCACAGCACCTCGAGCCTGGGGCGGGGTGGGGGGGCAGACGGGAGCCTCCAGAGCCTCCCTGCTGCACGAAGGCGCACTGGACGTCATAAGCCAAGTGACCAAAGCAAAGCAAGGCTCGAGTGTCCGCAGCTGCCCGGACGCTGGGCGTGAGCGGGGCCGCCAGCCGCGGCAGAGTCCGCGGGTGCTGGGCCCTGGGTCGGGGACCCCTCCGCACTCCTGTCCCTCCCGGGCGCGAGGCCCCGCCTGCAGGAGCCATGAGCCCCGCGGGCAGCGCCGGCTCCGCGGGCGAGGCCGCCTCACCCACCAGGAAACGGGGCGCCACTGCGGGACGTCGCGGGCCAGCGCAGCAACAAAGGGCCCGGGAGGAAGCCGGGGCCGCCCGCCGCCCCTTCCCGGCCCGCGCCCCCCGCGGCCGGCGCCCACGGCGGGGAGGCAGCCGGAGCCGGCGGCCCCGCGGCAGGCGGGCTGGGGCGGCCGCCGCCGCGCAGGGAGGGCCGGGCCGGCCGGGCGAGCCCGTCGGGGCCGCCGCGCGGGGCGGGGAGGGGCGCGCGCCGGACTCACCTCCCGCGGCGGCCGCTCCGGACGCGTCGGCCCCGCCGGGCCGCGGGAGGCGGGGAGGGCTCCAGGCGCGGGGGCTGCCGGGAGCCGGTATCCCGGGCAACGCGCTCCGCCGCCGGCTAGAGCGGCCCCGCCGCCCGCGCGGGGAAGTGACGTCCGGCTTCCGGGGGGGCGGCCGCGCGTCGCCTTCCGGGGGCAGCCGGGCCGCATGGCAGGTGCGCGGGGGCGGGGGCCGCGGGGGCGGGAGCCGGGCGGCCGCGGGGGAGGGCGCCTCGGGCCGGGCCGCCCACGGGGCGTTCTGCCGCGCGGAGAGCGGCTCGGCGGCGTCTTCCTGCACCCCCGGGCTGGGTTCGGACTCACTGCAGGCGAAGGCGCACCCCGGGCGTCCGCCATCGCGGGCCCCCGAGGGTGTAACGAGCGCGCCGCCCTCCGCCCCCCCCGAGCGGGCTCCGTGCGCCCCGCCCGCCCCGGCGCCCCCCACCATCCCCTCCCGAGCGGGCTCCGTGCGCCCCGCCCGCCCCCGCGCCGCCCTCCGTCCCCCCCGAGCGGGCTCCGTGCGCGCCGCCCGCCCCCGCGCCGCCTCCCCGAGGAGGGAGCTCCGTGAAAATGCCCTGGTCGGCCTCGGCGCCCCGCGCCTCGTCCCCCACTCTTGGGATATTGTGGGTGCTCAGCAAACGTGGGCCAGCTGTGTAACCGGGAGATGAAGGCGAGATCGCTGTGCTGGTTGAGAGAGTGAGCGGGTGGGTGGGGACGCGCTGACAGGGAAAGCGCAGGGCAGAGCAGCGGGTGAGCCGGGAAGAAGCGATGGGTGGGACGCGGGTAGGAGGCTGGGCCTGTTTGATGAGGTGGGTTTGGGGCTGGCGGCAGCTGTGCGCGCACCATCCCACCAGTGCTCGGTGTTGACGTGACATTTGGAAAGCTCCAAAGTAACCCAAGGATGGGGCAGGTTGCCAGGAGAACCAGGACTTGGAGAGGGGGTTGGAACTTTCAGTCAAACTGAGTCCCCGGGAGGGGAGGGGACTGGAGGTTGAACCGGTCACCAGTGGCTGATGATGTGATCGGTTGTGCCTGTAGTAAAGACTTCATGAAAATCCAGAAGGACGGGGTCCAGGCATCTGCGGGGTCAGGGAACGCGGGGGAATTCAGGGAGCATGGCTCCCTTGGAGGGCCTGGCAGTCTGCCCAGTGCACCCCTTCCCACCTGGCTCTTCCTGCTTCATACCCTTTTACGATAAACCTGTCATCTAATGAGCGAGAGCGCCTTCCTCAGTTCTTGAGCTTTCACCAAACCCAAAGACAGCCACAGACCACCCACCTCTTCCACAAGCCAGTCCACCCATGGCACAGCGGCATCCTGGACTTGGGAGTGACCTTTGACCTGTGGGATGGACGCTGTGGGACACTTGCTGGGCGCCAGGACCTCAGGGCTCAAGCGCTAAAGATAAATCTGGCCGTCACATCCAGGCTCCCAGTTTATAAGTGAGCACACCGATGCCCCAGCCGTTAGTCACCTGGCTGCGATGGCACAGCTGACCCTGGTAGATTTGCGGTTCAGACCCCGTTGTCAGTCTTCAAGGTCCCCCAATGAAACTGTTGTGGTGTCCTGAGTTCCTTAAGGGGCTGCTCACAGAATCTAGGCGTGGCCCTGGGAGCCCTCAGGAGCTTCTGAAGGGAGAGTCTGAGGAGAGCAGCAGGCGTGGGCGGGCTGGGAGAGCTCAAACAGCTGAGTTGGCTTCTGGTGGTCTGGGGCTTGCCTTCCACAGGAGAGAGGGTCTCTGTACCTTGGCATTTGGGGGGATGCTCACTCAAGGAGAAAGCGCTTTCTAGCAGAGAGCATGGCATGTGCAAAGGCCCAAGTTTTGAAGACCTGCCAGTGATTCCTTTCAGCTGGATGTGGGGGCGCGAGGTGGGGGTTGAGCTGTGTGGTGAGTAGAGAGGGAGCCAGGTCGGGAAGGACTCTGGACTTCCTCCTGCATCTTACATGGGTAGTGACAAGTGGAGGTTGTCCTGTCACTGGGGTCCAGCCTTGTCACTGACTTGGAAAGATGAGCCCCTGTAAACCCGAAGTTTCTGAACAGGCATAAGGTCTCAAAAATGAGGCATGTGGTGGGAGAGCTGCAGCGGGGTGGGTGGGGGGCTCTGGTATTCTAGCTAAACACCCCAATTTTAACTCCCCAACCTCTCCAGTGCTCGATTGCTTAAGGTAGAACTCTGTAGAGGGTTTTTAGCTGGGAAAGAATTCAGCGCTCACTGGTGAGTCTGAAAGGGTAAAAGCCATTTTCGTTTGTCTTGTTCCAGGAACTTCCATGTCCATCCAAACTTCTTAGGTTCCACAACTTTTATTCTCCAGGTGATGCAGCCTTTCAGGTAGCGCTACTGCTGAAAGTTGTAAAGACATTAGTTTTCAACTAAGATCATGAGTTTCATAACAATTACATTTTTTTTGTCTCCTGCCAGCAAAGACCCTTGAAAGTTCAACGCCCAGAAAGCCTGTCTTGTCTGTCAGCGCAAGAAAAATTAAGGACAATGCTGCTGATTGGCATAATTTGATCCTGAAATGGGAAACCCTCAATGATGCAGGTTTCGCTACTGCAAATAACATTGCCAACCTGAAAATCAGCTTGTCGTAAGTACAGTGACGCCCCTTGCGCTCTTCCCCTGGAGCTTTTCAGGGCGGGACAGCAGTGTCGGTGACGGGGACGCATGGTGACATCTGCCAGGGCGGGCTGTGTGTGCTGTTGGACTACGAGCCCTCCCGTTGTTCCTGACCGCGTCAGCTTATAAAGTCGTGAAAGTGAATCGGAGGCTGCGGCCTGCGCGTGGGATCTGGGAGGAGCGATCGCGGGCGGTGGGGCGTCTCATGCTGCTTGTGATTCTTTGAGGCTCGGTCCGCGCCCCTGGCGGCCGCAGCTCCGGAGCCCTGTCCTTTCCTAGGGCTGAGGGTGAATGGAGGCCTTTGCTTGTAAGAGTCGGCCTTTTGTCCTCACGTCCAGGCCGCAGCCTCCAGGTCTGAAAGGTTCGATGGTGAAGGTGAAGGGGTGTCTCGTGGTTCGGCCACGCCTGTGACCTCTCTGTGCGCTTGCGCATGTGGGGTTTGGAAGAAGCCCCCAGCATGACTGCCCCAAGACAACGGCCCGCCCTGCGCGGTGGCGGTAGCGCCCGTGAGCCATTGGCTGACTGTGTGGCCATGTCTGATGCGGTCTGGGAGCCGCTAGGGAAGGACATCAAGTACCTGCATGGGGGTCCTCCCCACACATGCAGTCCCCATGCCCTTCCGCTCCCGGCGGAAGGTGATCACAGCTCGTGTCTGCGGACCCTGCTCCTGCTCTCGTCGTGTCTCAGTCACGCTCACTTGCTGCTGCTAGGGAGTAGCCAGGCCGCTGGGCCTTGCTGGCAAACCTGCTCCACGACTCGTCCCTCAGTGAGTCCCCGATACCCCACCATCTAAATGCACATGGTGAGGGGACTTTGGGAAGATCCTGGGGAACTAGCCATGCACCAGCAGAGTTGGGATGTTAGTCCCGACCCACGCTTGGGAAGGGGCGGGCTGGAGGTGACCTGCTCTCCAGCTGTGCCTGCCTGGGGAAGCCTCTGTGAAGCCCAGGGTACTGCCGGGTGGTAAACAAAATGCACCGTGTGCAGACAGGCAGTACCCCAAACTCCACAAGACAGAGGCTGTGCCCTCCGGCGCCTTATCCTGCCTGTCTTCACTTGTTTTCATCACTTTCCTGCAGTGTCCTCCTCAGTAAGCCAGTCTGGAGGCCTGTGAGCCCTTCCAGCAAACTCATCAAGCCTAGCGTGGGGACCCCCCACTTTGTAGCCAGTCATTCAGGAGCGCAGGAACAGCCTGGCCTGGGATTGGCATCTGAAGTGGTTGGGGGGTGTCTTGGAGGACTGGGCTCTTCCACCTGTGGGGTCTGACACGGCCCAGGTAGACAGTGCAGGACAACCCACCATGCACAGAGAGGGAGACCCGCAGTGGTGGTGTCCGGGCATCAGAGTGGACAGTCTCGAGGAGACACTTGGAATGTGTTTTTCTTAGCAATTTCTTTTTAAAAAGGTCAAAGGAATTATGAAAAGAAATCTTCTCGGCAGTTGCCAGTTCTGGTGGGAAGATTTGCTTGCGCTTTCCTGTACTTCATGGCTCAGTCACAACACATGTGACACATCGTGTCTCGTCCAGCCGACCTTTCTCTGCAGCATGCGGTCTTTGCCTCCTGGGGCGTGTTGAATTCCCTCAGGCACACACCCCTGCTCTCTGCCCCCTCTCCTGGGGCATCCTGCTCACCGGTTCCATGAAGCAGTTCGCCCCAGCCTGCATGAGGGGCCCTCTGATGCTTCCTTTCCCATTTCACGTCTGATTTTCCCTTAAATGTTAACTGTGGCCCCTCCAGACTAACTTCACACCTGCAGGTGACCTCCAGTTCACCCAGAACATGCTGGGGTGAGCAGTGGGCCACATTTCACCCACTTCGTGCGCCTGGCACCACCTGTCCTGCACCAAGGAGGCCACAGCGCGAACCTGACTGGCTTGCTCCGGGCCAGTTAGGAACTGCCAGCTGCGGTCAGCGTGCACAGGGCCAGGAAGCACCCGTGGCATGGAACAGGCCCAGCGTGACTGCCACAGTTGTGGATGTCCAGTTTTCTGCTATATTTGTTGCTGTAACAAGATGAGGGGAACTTAGAGTGATTTTCCTTCTGTTTTTACCATTCTGTCCAGGAGTAAAGATGAGATAGAACTAGAAGGCAGCAGCCCAGCTTGCGGAGACAATGTAGAAAAGATGCTTCCAGAATATAGCCTGGAGCTGGAGGCGCTGTGTGAGGAGCTGCGGGCCACCCTGGACGGCCTGGTGAGACGAGACCCACCCTGCGCTCACCGCCCCGCTTGGGCCCATGCGGTGTGGGCACTCCCTACTCAGACACGCCTCCCTTCCCAGCCTCCCTCCCCTGCCAGGCTGCGATGCCCCCTGCTGTGTGTGTCCTGCTCACATGAGGCTTGTGGCCCCTCTGCTGCACAGCCCCACCTGCCAGGATGGGGCCGGAGCCTCGTGGCCAGGCCCCCACAGGACTTTGAGACCCTGAACATTGAACTTTGTGCCTCTTTCACATGTCACAGGATGTTCTTTTGATTTTTTTACCACCATTGACAAAGGTAAAGCCCATTCCTGGCCTTGGGCCATTAGGAATTAGGCCATGGGCTGGGTTTGGCCCGTGGGTCCTCCCCTGGCATCTGAGAAACGCAACATGTTTGTTTCTGAGGGAATGACTGAATGTCAGTGCCCAGGTGTGGCTTCAACACCTGTCGTCGGCCAGAGCCAGGGAAAAGGCTGGGCACCTGCTTGCACTTGGAGAGCAAAAGTAACCTGTGGCAGATGGACTCTTTCTGTCTTAGCCTTTGTGATGGAAGCGCTTCTAAAGCCTCAGGTCTGGGAATACTGTGCCCAGGAACGTCTGTGGCGTGGTTCCCAGACCTGGAGAACAGCCTCCAAGTCAGGCCAAGCTCTGAGTGGGACCCGTGGCTTCTTTCAAGCTGCGCCTCAGGAAGACGGGGTCAGGCGTGTGGCTCTGTGGGACCCTCAGGAAGGCAGGAGATCAGGCATGTGGCTCTGTGGGACCCTCAGGAAGGCAGGGGATCAGGCATGTGGCTCTGTGGGACCTGCTCTTCCCTTTGCTCCTCGTCCAGGGCAGTGTCTTACATGTGACTCTGGACGGGCGAGGATTTCACTCCAGGCCGGACCGTGCAGTGACACAAAGATGAGCTGTGGTGTAGTAATCATCTACTGATAGCTGGTCACTTTCTTCGTTTCTTTTTATTTCCAAAGTTGACCCAAATTCCTGTATTGAAATAACTGAACAGCCAGCAGCCTTCAGGCTGGGCCTGTCACCCAAAGCACCAGTTGCGGGTTGGTGCCATCCATAGCATCCCAGTTCCCACCAGAGCCTCTTCCTCCTGGGCCTGCCGCGTTCCTGTCTGGCAGAAAACAGTGCAGAATCCCAAAACTGCTGCAAGGAGAAACTTTTTTTTTTTTTTTTTTTAAAGATTTATTTATTTATTTATATGAGCACTGGGTACAGTCAGAAGCGCAGGAGGGTGAGAGGATTCACCAGAGCCAGAGCGGGGAGCAGAGCAGGAAGAAGGACCGAGGTACACTGCTGAGGGGAGCAGCGGGCGGCAGGAGAGGTCTGCGCGCCATGTGGGACCCTCACTAGCAGCCGGGGATTGAACTGGCACTGCAGAGGCTGCGGGCAGCTTCGCAGCCCAGCGCTCAACCGCTGCGCCACCGGGGAGGCCCAGAAACCCTTTTTTCAAGTACAAAGTTAACTTTTCTTGTGATGGGGACTGTCGAGATCCGCTGGAGGCGGTCAAGTGTGTGATGCAGTGTTACGAGAAACTTTGTCACGTTAACGTGACTTCTAGAAAATGTCCAATGACGGCCTCGTTTTTAAGCACCGGTTTTTAAGCGCCATTGGCCCCTTCAGCTCACAGGGTGCTCACAGCGCTCTCCCTACACCCACAGAAGGGGTGTGGGCGTGCTCGGGGAAGGGGGGTGCGCCCCTGCAGGTGAGAACGCAAAGCTGATGGCTTCCATCGCCCACCGTTGTCCTCCCCACTAGTAGGGGTGCACTGTGGGCCCCTTCCTCAGCCCCCTGGCCCCTCTGAGAAGGGACAGCCTGGGAGGAATCTCAGAGTAGTTAGGAGGAAGCGTCATGGCCCCGAAAGCCCAGTCAACAAGCCCGGAGGATGGGGCAGCAGTAGATGAAATGTGGGCCTGGATGTGGGCAGCGGCACCTGGTCTCTGGAAGCCCCCCACGGGTCCAGGTGAGGAAGGCCTGGCCAGCTGAAGGTGACCCCTGGGTTCTAAGTGACTGCAGTCAGCTAAGGCCCAGGCCATGCTGGTGAGTGCTGAAGAAACGCGGCGTCTCCCCCCACACCTGCCCCAGTCCAGAGCTCGCAGGCCGCGGAGCCTGCCCGCCCAGGGCAGCTCCTGTCAGACCCTGCCCCACCAGGTCATCCTGCGTGTTCTTTAACCCGGTGGACTTTATTTTTTAGGACAGTTTTAAATTTCCAGGGGAGTGGGGCAGATGGTGCATGTCTGTGAAGCGCCCCAGCCACGCCCTCGCACTCACACCCGCTGCTTCCCCCTCAGCGGGTGCGTCATAGCAACACAGGGTCATTAGCAGCAGCGGCACAGTGGCCATCTCTCCTGGGCCCTCGTCCTGCCCAGGCGCCCACGCCGGACACCACATGGCCTAGTGCTCGCGTCTCCTTGGGCTCCCATGGGCGGCGGGGATGTCAAGGACTCCCCTGGCCTGATCTGTGCTCTCAGTTCAGGCTGAGGAGAGGGGTGGGGCAGGGGAAGTGCCCTCCCCTCCAGGAGTCACTGCGCCCCCAGGAGTGGGGGCCGGCATCCCGAGGGGAGCCTGCAGATACAGCACCTGGATCCTGCCCTGGAGTATGTCTCCCATCTAATCCCGCAGCCACTTGCCCACACGGTGCTGTGTGTGTTCTCTGTTGGGGTGTCACTCAGAGCTGCTTTCTTTTGTTCTTCAAACTGCCCCCTTTGGCTGTTGGGGGTTCTGTTGGCTCCTGTGTCCCTTGTCAGTTTGTCATTTTGGTTTTTCTTCACAGTCCTGGCATGGCAAGTTCCTCCAGGCTCCTTGGTGCACGTCCCGCCTCCACCCTGGAGTCAGCCATTTCTCCTCGGCGTCCTGGAGCCTTTTATTGGAAAAAGGTGTTAAAAATCAAAATCTGGGACTTCTTGTTGGACACTGAATTTCTCACTCTAGTGAATTTCAAATTGGTTTGGAAATAAGTTCTCATTTTATGCTCAAAATCAGATGTTGATGTTAAGGCTATTCATATTTTTCCTATTTTCCTCTGGTCTTCAAGTATTATTTTGGTTTTTGCACAAGGAGCCAGCGCGGCTCCTGCTGTGAGGCAGGTCTTCGGTGACACATTTGAGGGAGGCCACTCAGTCTGGCGTAACGAGGCTCTGTCCTTGGCCGGCGGTGCTGGTGGCACAGACAGAGGCTGGAATTCCGGGCCAGGCCCTGCTGGCCTGAGTGGCCGTGGCAAGAGCAGGAGCCCAGGCCGAGGCTCCTCAGGTGGCTCTGGGGCTGCCTTCTCCAGTGCCCAGGCGGAAAGCGCCTCCCTCCAGTCTTCAGAGAAGATGTTTCCCAGACTTAGCTTTGTGTGTCCTGAGTGAACTTCATCCTGGAGCTGGGGGTAGGGCGGTGTTAGGGGTGCAGCCTCCCCCTGAGCTGGATGAACACCCCAAGAGGGCTTCAGGCAGGAGGGCTGTGTGGCAGCAGCACTTGGTCTCTGTCAGCAGGAGCTCCAGAATGGAGCTGCCCTTCGGCCTGGTGTCATACCTCAGGTCCTGACCTCCGAGCTCTCAGAAGTGGGTGTATCAGGGAGTGCCGCTGGTGCATTGGACAGTGGGCCTCTGGGTTTGGGCTCAGAAAGCGAGGTCTCGGGTCCTGGCCCCGTTCCTTCCAGCTCAGCAACCTTGAGAATGTTCCCAGCTGTGGTCAGCAACCAAGAGCCCAGCTCCTGGGGCTGGGCCAAGCGAGATCAGGAACCAGAGTGCCTGCGGGAAGGCGTGTGGTCCTGCGAAGACCAGTGCTAGCAGGGGCGGCGCTCGTCACCTCAGATGTGATGGGAGGGTGGCTGAAGGACCAAGGGCGAGAAATCAAGATTTGTGACGATTAATATTCTTGTTCCCCCTCCAGACCTTTGCTAATTCTGTCTGAAACCTTAGCTTCTTGACCCTTTTATTTAACAAGCCCTGGGCCTGTTCCCGCCGGGCTCACGGCTGCCGGCAGTGCCCCGTGAGCGGGTGCCCGGGCCCCTGTGCTGGCCCAGCGGGCAGTGGGGCACCCTTGCTGTGCCACCAGCAGGAGCAGTATTGGGCGTGGTCCGAGCTGGCTGCATGGCGGCCTGGCGGCATCAGGTTCGTCGGGTTTCCTTCCTGCGTGCAACATGCCAGGCCCCCTTGTGTTGTTGCCATTCTATAAACGAGGAAACGGAGGCTGTTCAGGCACGTAGTAAGCTCTCTGAGCTCCTCTGATGCCGCCTCCTTGGACGCAAGAGCCCGCCTGCGACCCCGCAGATCGTGCCGTCAAAACCGGGCTCTGGGGCCATCCCAGGAAGTGGGGCTCGGCAAGCTCCTCCTCCAGGACTGGAAGTGGAGGTGACAGCCGAAGGATCCAGATTGAAGACGCCCTGGCAGCTGTGTGCTCAGAGCTCACGGTGTTGAGAGGACTTCGGTGTCACCAGTTACACATCTTAGCGTTGAAACCTTAAAACGTTCCTGAATCTGAGACCTCGGTCCATGTCAGAATTCTCACGGTCCCAATCAATGTCTTTTCAGACCAAAATACAGATGAAAATGGAAAGGCTGTCTGCAACCACCAAGGGCATCTGCGAGCTGGAAAATTACCACTATGGGGAGGAGACCAGGCGGCCCCCCTCTTCCACACCTGGCCCACGGCCCACTTCTGTGAGTGCTCTGCGCTGCTCTGCAGAGCGTGGGCGCGCCGGCGCCTCAGGACACGGCTTTGAAATCCAACCGCGTCCACGGAGGGCGGGAGGCGGGAGGCGGGCACCCTAAGCTGCGCGTTTCTTCCTGCCTTTAAGGCCCAAAAAGTCAGCAAAGAATAGTAAAGGCTGTAAGCCCAGGCGCCGGGGGCCTTGCCAGCCCTTCAAAACGGGAGGGGGGGTCCATTTCTGCCCGGGGAGGGAGTTTTTGGTTTTTTTAGGGATAGGGAGTTTTACTTTTTGCTTTAAGTATAAATGGAGGTCATTTCAGCCGGACTGACGGAGGGAGGCTTCGGGGAAGGCGCACGGCTGCTTTAACGGGCTCTGAGAGATGAGGGCCGCCCTCGGCTTACTTAAAGGAAGGGCGACGCCTCCTGGTGCTGATTTGAGACCTTGCCTCTAAGTAAGGGAGAGGAGGTGAGATCCCTGCGGGCTGTGGCCGCGGCGGGCAGTGGTTGGAGGCAGGTGGCACTTCCGTCCTGGCCGCTGCTGAGACGTGAGTGGCAAAGGGCCGAATTCTTTCACGTCACTCGTTTCCCTAATTCCTGCCCGCTCCGGCTGGCGTGGGTACTTGGCCGCTTGGCCCTCCTCTGCCTGGCAGATGCTGGTCCTGGGCAGGCCAGGCGCCTCTGCCCCCCGTTACAGGGCGCGCGTGTGTTGCAGATGAGGTCTCCCGCCAGCTCGCGGACATGTACGGCCAGGAGCTGCGCCTGAAGCGCACCATCGTCGAGGAGCTCGCCCACACCAAGGCCCGCGGCCTCGTCCTCAGCTACTTGTCCATGTGGCTGCACCAGCCCTATGTGGAGAGCAACAGCAAGCTGCAGCTGGAGAGCCTGCTGCTCGAGACGGGCCACCGGCCGCTGTGACCTCCCGGGACACCCGGCCGTCTCCGTGCCCGCCCCTGGCCGCCGCCTGCCATCCCAGGGCCCTCAGTCAGCGCACTTCTCCAGCACTCCCCCACCCCCCGCCCGTGGGGGCCTCCGTCCCAGGCTGTGTGTGAAATAAACGAGCTCCTCCTGGCCAGGGGGACTGTGTTCGGAGCTGTGTGTGTTTTAATATGTGACGCTTGTGTAGAAGATCCCAGTTCAGTATATTATTTTAAGTTTTAAAAGACTTTTGGGCCTCCCTCCCTGGTGGCGCAGGTGGTTGAGCGCTGCACTGTGAAGCTGTCGGCAGCCTCTGCAGCGTGGGTTCGATCCCTGCCGGCCAGCGAGAATCCCACATGGCGCGGCAGACCTCTCCTGTCTCCCCGCTGCTCCCCTCAGCGGTGTGCTTCGTCAGTCTGCCTGTTCTGTTCCCCGCTCTGTCTCTGGTGTAGACTCACCCTCCCGCACATCCGGCCTGTACCCAGGTTCTTGTCTAAATGCGTCTGGCACAAACCCGCAGCTGGGCGGTCTGTGCAGCCAGGTGTTGGAGGGCAGCCTGCCATTGCCCCCCCAAAGCAGACATGAGGGGCTGCATGCTGTGGGGTGTGGGGTGCAGTCCCAGGCCACGAAGTCCTGGGGCCCCAGGAACACAGATGCCGGGAAGAGAAGGACTCCAAAAATAAAGGCTGGTGGGGGTGTGTTGAGACCCGCTGGGGCATCCTCAGTAGATACTCGGAAACCCCGACTTCAGGGACACGACGCATGGGGAAGCCCGTTCACTACAGGCTGATGGGGCGGGATTTCTGTCACAAACATCCCCAGACTTCCACCCTCAGGAGACCGGGAGGGCCCCGGCGGCCCGGGCGGGGGTCACCCCCACCTTACCAGAACGACGGAGTCCGGGCCGCTCTCCCCCCGCGGGCCTGGCCGCAGGTCCCCCACGCGGTGGGCGCGGCCGGCGGGCAGGATCCGTGCCGGCCGGGAACCAGCAGCGCCTGGCAGGCGCGAGCCGCGCGCGCAGAACGGTCTCTGAAATGGGGATGAAGGCGCCCCCGGACGCCCCAAAAGCGAGGGTGCGCGCGGGGTGTCCGCCCCCGAGGCCTCACCGGGTGGCCAGCGGGCGCCCAGGACCGCGGGCAGCCGGGAGGGGCGGCCTTCGGGGCGCTCTGGGCGGGGCCGGGCTGAAGCCCGACGCGCAGACGCTGCTGCCGGCACCCAGCCCCGGGGCCCGGGGAGGGGAGCCCTCGCGCCTCCTCCGTGGCACCCGTGGGCACCCGTGGGCACGCGCGCCGAGGCGGCGCCGGAGTGGGGCGCGGGGCGGGCGCCCGAGGCCCCGGAGGAAGGAAGCTTCGCGAGGGCTCGGCCCGCCCGCCCCCGCGCCCTGCCCGCGCACTACCGAGGCCCACGGCTGTGCAACCATCAGGAAAATCCCGAAAGAGCCGCCGCGGGCTCCAGCGCTCCGCCTTCCCCGTCTGCCCCGCCACAGGAAACCCGCCACCCCGCTGGCCCGCCGCTGCCGGCCTGGTGCTCCCGGAGCCCCGGGGCTGGGCGAGACCACGCGGCTGATTCTGGCCCTGAGCTGTGAGCAGACGGCCCCCCTGCAAGCCTGGCCCCCCTGGAGCCCTCTCTGGTGTGGCCACCAACGGTGTGGGGGGGGGCACAGCTGGGCCCCGCCATCCCTGAGTGGCGGGTAAGCAAGAACACGTACCCCTCACCCTTTCAAGCTGCTGGGTCCTCCAGGCCCACCCTGCAGTGGCCCCTCTGGAGGCGGCGCCAGCCACCGCCGGTTGCCCTTGGTATTTGTTCTCTGCTTCATCTAAGACTCGGCTGGCATTTGGCTGCCAGTTAAGGAGGCGTCGAACCTTCTTTGCAGCCGGGTGTGGCCGGGTGACTAGTGAGAGGCGAGCAGAGGCCGCGGGTGCACCTGCAGGTGCGGGGCAGTGCGTGCTGGCGTGGCGGTGGAGAGCAGGCCAAGGCGGGTCAGCGCTGGGGCCTGGTGCCCGCCGGGGGAATTTGGGGTCAGCGAGAACAGGCACTTAGCCAGGGCCAGGCACAACAGCAGGTCAGAGGAGGGTCTTTGACATGCTCTGGACTCGTGACATGCTCTGTTCCTGACAAAGACGTCACTAATTAGAAAACAGCTGTGGGTGGTCCCCCTCCTTGCTCCTGCAGGAGGGTCCCGAGGTGAGGAAGGGTGTGCCTGGGCCGCCTCTGGAGCGAAGCAGCTCCCTGTCCTGCATGCTGCCAGCTCACTCCATCACCACCAGAGAGATGCGGTGGTCTGACTAAACACCCCCGAGTTCCTGGTGGAATCCCCACCCCCGAAGCTGATGGTATTGGGAGGTGGGCCCACTGGGAGGTGCCAAGTCATGTGTGGGGCCCTCGTGGTGGATTTAGTCCTCCTACGCCAGGCTCCAGAACACCCCAGGTCTTGCCAGCCGCAGCCCCAGGGAGGGTGCAGCCTGGCAACAGCGCCCGCACCCGCCTGGCCATGAGGGAAATAAATAAATAAATAATTGCACTGGGGGCACAGGACTTGGAGAAAGCGCCAGCCAGCTCTCCCCGGCCACCGCAGCCAGAGAGGGACCCCACCGCCAGGCGCAGCGCACCGGCCCGGCCGGCCTCTCCGGTCTCCCCGCTGCTCCCCTCACGCTGCTCCCCTCACGAGGCAATTTCAGTAGACCCGCCCGCTCTGCGCCCCACTCTCCGGCGCATCCTCTCCCCCGCCCCAGCTCTGGCCTGCACCCAGGGCTTGCATGCACGATAAGTAACTCCTGGGGAAAAAGAAGAGCCCCCGCCCCCGCGGTGCCGGCCGGGGCGCACCGAGCCATCGCGGCGCGGGACGGAGGCGCCAGGAGCAGCCGCCCGAGGAGCCGAGGGGTGGAAGCAGACGCTCCCCGGGGGGCAGGGCTTGGCCGTGGAAACGCGCCGGGGGACCCCACATGGGAACCGAGATGATTTATTCTGGGGGGCGACGCGCTGGGTCCCTGGGATATTTCGGTTACACGCAGAGCGCAGGCCTGCGAGGAGACGCGCGGGGCTAGCGGGGCGCGCGGGCTGCGAGCCGGGGGCGCCCCCGGCTGCGGGAGAGTCTCCGGGTCCCTCCCGAGCTCGCCAGACCCGCGACCCCGCGGCCCCAGCAGGCCCGGGCGCGCCGCGGGGCTCAGGGCCAGGGCGCGGGTCTGTGGGGAGAGGCCGCGCTCGGCGGCTCGGCTCGGGCGCGGGGCCGCGGGGCAGCACCCGGGCCTGGCGCGGGCGGGCGGGGCGGGGCGGGGCGGCCGCGGGCAGCGGGTCTCCCTGGCCGGCCGGGCGGGGCCCCGGGCCGAGGCCGGCCTGAGCGCGGGGGCCGCGGGCGGCGGCGATGAGACCTGGAGCCGGGGGCACAGTGAGCACCCCCGGGGCCGGGCGGCCCCCAGGAGCTGAGGGTCCCAGGCCTCAGCGCACCCGCGCGTGGGGGTGGCCGGCGCTGGGGCCGCGGCCCGGGGAGGGTCGCCCGCTGGCAGGAGCGGGTCCGCGGGGGTCTGTCCTGAGGTCGCGCGGGGCAGGGGGCTGAGGCCCAGAGAAATCGGGGGGACTGTCCGGGGACGGCAAATGGCGGGGTCAGGGAAGATTGCATCCTTCTGGGGTTTGCCCCCAACGCCTTAGTGGCAAACCTGCAGCTAGGAAAACTGGGGGCCTTGGGGAGCATGTCGGCCCGCCTGAGGGTGGGCACCTGGGGGAAGGGCTTGTTTATGCGGCACACCTGCCGGGCTGAGAAAATACAGGCTGCCCTAGAGAGCAAGGAGCACCGAGGAGCAACCGGAGCAACCAGAGCATCGCTGCGAAAATAAGGTGCCGGGATTGGGGGTAGAGGGTCCAGGGGGTAGCGGGTCCAGGGGGTAGTGGGTCCAGGGGTAGCAGGTCAAGGGGGTAGACAAGGCTCAATGCTACTGGACCTTACATGAATAGAAGCTGCTATTCCTCAAGCCTATCTCACCCTCAGATAACCACCTCAACACTGGTGCAGAGCCAAAAAGGACTAGTAAGACTAGACTCTCTATCCTTAACCGCTCTAGTCCTCAACTTGATATTAATTTGTTGTAGAGTAATCTCTACAACAGCCAGCACTCCAATAACTAGAGATCATGCGGTACCAAATAACCAACCAAGTACCTTATCTCTGTAAAGCCGCAATCCCCGCGGCTTGCTCACAAAAAACCCCAGCATCCCCGGTATCATAAATCACCCATCCCCCGTCCACTAAAATTTAATACAATCTCTAACTTTTCATCATGAATACAATAAGCAACAAGTAACAGTTCTGCTAACATACCTACCACAAATAAACTTAACCCTGGACCTCAGGATACTCTTCCATGGCTATGGCCGCTGCATAACCAAACACAACTCACATCCCACATAAATAAATTAAAAACACCATTATCCCTAAAAATGAACCACCATAATTTAATACAACAGTAGACCCCACCCCACCACTAACAATCAACCCCAACCCGCCATAAATCGGAGAAGGTTTTGAAGAAAACCCAACAAACCTTACCACCAAAATAGTACTTAAACATAATAAATGTTATTCCCACATGGACTCTCACCATGACAAACTGTTGTAGAGCAGCCCCGATACAAAACGGGGTGCCTGACTGTGGGTCCTCACCCGCGCGCTTAAAAGGACTTATCCATGCTCCACTGCAGGCACACGCGAAAGGTTAATAAAGGTTTATTCACAAGGGAAGGGGAAATGAGGAAATGCACAGCTCAGGGAGAAAAGTGGGAGACAAAGTTTTAAATGCGTCCTACCCGATCTGCCGATCAGGAATCCCAAAATGGTGCTCTGAGAGCTGGCCATGAGCCAGGAGCGGTGAAGCCAGGAGGTGAGCGATCACGAGCCACCCCAAGGCCCACGTGTTTGGTTTTTTTATCCAACCTGGCTGCCCAACTCCACCCTCAGGTCCCAGCCACCCTCCCTTTGGTGGTGATGGGATTTGTCTTTCCCAATGTCTTGATGGCTTTGGTCTGGAGTGGGGGTGGCGTCCACAAAGCATGTATGGGATTAGCTCAGGACATCCTTTCCCCCTAACACAATGACATGAGAAATCATCTTAATTCAACTACAAGAATTCTAATGACAAACATCTGAAAGACACACCCACTAATAAAAATCGTCAACAGCTCACTCATCGACCTACCAGCA